TGGCTTCGTCGTGTTCTCGTTGTCGTGGTGTGGGGGTTTGGTTGAGCGAGGGGCGCATTTTCTCAAGGATCACCTATGAGTGATGCTATAGAAGCCAGCTGGGAGCCTCGTAGGCGTTTTTTTAAGCGTGAATGTGACTTTAACGAAGAGCTCACATTCACGCTTATTTGTTGTCGTGGGCTCTTGGGGACGCCTTCTCTTAAGAATCAACTGTGATTGATGGTTGTGTTTGTTTTCGTCCCTGGTTGTTTTGTGTGTAATGTTCCATAAATGCATGCTGTGATGTGATGTGGCACCAGGGGCGAGGTTGTGTGCGTATGGCAGGGAAGCAAGGGGCTAGAGCTGAAGGGGAAACCTGCAATCATTTACACCAATCTGCGGGAAGAGAGTGACTACGATGCAATTGTCATGCGAGTGAGTTTGACTCTATAAGGGGGATATCAGCAAGGAGGCAAGGGGCTAGAGCTGAGGGGGAAACCTGCAATCATTCACACCAATCTGCGGGAAGAGAGCGACTACGATGCAATTGTCATGCGAGTGAGTTTGACTCTATAAGGGGTATATCAGCAAGGAGGCAAGGTGCTAGAGCTGAGGGGGAAACCTGCAATCATTCACACCAATCTGCGGGAAGAGAGCGACTACGATGCAATTGTCATGCGAGTGAGTTTGACTCTATAAGGGGGATATCAGTAAGGAGGCAAGGGGCTAGAGCTGAAGGGGAAACCCGCAATTATCTACACCAATCTGCGGGAAGAGAGTGACTATGATGCGATTGTTATGCGAGTGAGTTCTATGCTGGATTTGGCAATCATTGCCATATGTGTCGATCATGGCAATGATGGTTCACTCGTGATTGCTGATGGGCCTACACTCTCTCGATTTAGTAAGCCGATGGTAAAAGCTGATGGTAAAATAAAAGCTGGTGGTAAAAGCCGATGGTAAAAGCCGATGGCCGGCGAGCCTTGATGGTTAAAACTCAAAAATCGACTCAAAGGTGTGATGGCAAAAAACCGAAAATTTTCAACGCAACAGTGTGGTGGCAAAAGCTGGGGATTCTCAACTCAATGCTGTGTGGTGTGGTGGCAATGATGGCTGACACTTGATCGCCTTTTGAGGCGCCTCAAAAGTGGTGTGGTGGCAATGATGGCTGACACTTGATCGCCTTTTGAGGCGCCTCAAAAGTGGTGTGGTGGCAATGATGGCTGACACTTGATCGCTGACGGGCCTCCCTCCTGTGGTGAGGTGCAGTGCTGACGATCACAGCAGCGGTATTGCTGAGCCATCAGTGGGGCGATAGAGGGCAGCAGGGGAATGGGGAGGAAATATCAGTAAGGAGTGTGCTTATTGGGGGGTTGAGAGTGGTAGAGTGAGGATTCTCTACGGTGTGGTGGCAATGATGGCTGACACTTGATCGCTGATGGGCCTCCCTCCTCTTGTGGTGAGGTGAGGTACAGTGCTGACGATCACAGCAGCGGTATTGCTGAGCCATCGCTGGGGGGATCTGTGGATAGAGCTGCAGGGTAGAGGAATATGGGATGGGGTGGGGAGTGTGTAGCTCGTGGTGAGGTATGGTGCTGACGATCACACCAGCGGTATTGCTGAGCCATCAGCCTTTTCCGTCTCTCTCGCCTTGTCCCATTACCCCTGTGCTTGGACTATATCTATTATTCGATTTATCACCTTGTCCCATCCCCTTCCTCCCCTCCCCATCCAACCCAGTGCGAATTAATCGGGTCAACAGGGGATGCTGGAGGTGACCTTCAGGCATACAGAATCTTGTATCTATTCATATGTCCACATGATCCCATCCCTCTCCCCTCCCTCATCTATCCCATCCCAGTGCGAGTTGGAGGAGTCAACGGGTGATGCTGGGGGGGATCTCTTTCTCACTATTGCTAGCGAGCCCTTCCTCGCTCTCAGGTGATTCTTCTGCTGCTCTCAGGTGATTCTTCTGCTGCTCTCAGGTGATTCTTCTGCTGCTCTCAGGTGGTTTTTCTGTTGCTCCCATGCTGTCCTTCCATTGTTTCTTCTCCTCCCAGTGTTGTTCCCATGAAACCCCCTGATGCATCTCCATCTCCTGGTTTCCTCCCCTATGCATATACCCCCATCCGTCTCCCTCTTCCATGCCCTGATCCCTTCCCTCCTCCCACGCCCCGGTCCCACCCCTTATCTTTCATGGCCCCATATATCCCCTCCTCCACTCTCCCACCCCACTGTGTGCATCAGAGAGCGCCCTGCCATGCCATGCCATGCCATGCATCACTCTATCATGCCACCCGACATTGACCGCCACTCCCTTCCTTGCATGCCATGTTTTTCAAGGCGCCTTTGACCACATCTCCCCTCCATGTACTCCCTCCCTATCCCTCCATGCCCCCATCCCCTCCGCCCCTACGTGCTTCAGAGAGAGCTCTGCCTTGCAGCATGCCATCGTGGCGCCCGACTTGACCACATCTCCCCTCCATGTATTCCCTCCCTATCCCTCCATGGCCCCATCCCCTCCGGCCCCACGTGCTTCAGAGAAAGCTCCGCCTTGGAACATGCCATCGTGCCGCCCGACTTTGACCACATCTCCCTTCCATGTACCCATCCCCTCCGCCCTTGCATGCTTCAGAGAAAGCTCTACCCTGCAACATGCCATCGTGGCGCCCGACTTTGGCCGCCTCCCCCCATCTCTATCCACCCCCCCCATCTTTCCCGTCCTTGAAACCCCCTCCCTCCCTCTCAGAGAGAGCTCCGCATTGCAACATGCCATCGTGCCGCCCGACTTTGACCGCCTGCCGCATGTGCTGACGATGTGCGCCGTGCGCCTCGGGCGGCAGGTGGAGGCGAGGCTTGTCCACGAGTGGGTGAGCTACCACTGGCACCTGGGAGCCACCCAGTTCCGCCTCTATGATGCTGGAGCCATGGATGAGAGGTGAGTGGTTGAAGTACCATGCACATGCGCAGGCGGGTTTAGGTGGAGGCAAGAACTGTCCACGAGTGGGTGAGCAACCACTGGCACCTGGGAGCCACCCAATTCCGCCTGTATGACGCTGGAGCCATGGATAGAGGTGAGTGAAAAGCCGTGAATGAGAAGCGAGTGGTTTCTTTAAAGTTCCAGTTCCCACAAAGAAAGTTGGTGAGGATCATCCACGAGTCGGTGAGCTACCACTGGCACCTCTGGGCCACCCAGTTCCGCCTCTATGACGCTGGAGCCATGGATGGCCCAAATTTCCAAAAACCCTTGAGATCTTATCCTCCAGCCTTTTCCTCTTCTTTTTTGTTTTCCTTTCTTTCGCTCTCCCTCACTCCCTCCCTCCGTGCCCACTCAGCCTGGCCACGGTCCTCGATACCTTCCTGCGCAACGACTCGTTAAAAATCATCCCCACACGGCAATTGTCCTTTTACAATATCGAGTACGACGCGCACGTGAGTACAGTACCCTCCCTTTTCCACCTCCTCCACCCTCCCCCTCCCGATTCGCCCTCCTCCACACCCTCTCACCCTCCCTCATCCTCCCTCGGCGCCTTGTTTCTCTCTCCTGCCACCCTTGCCCACCCAATGTCTACCCTTTACTCCCCCTGCCGTCACCCTTCCATCGCACTTTTCCCAGGGCACCCTAGATTGCCTCCTACAGCACACATTTCAGATCTCAGCTGTTGATAGTGCTACCCATCACTAACATCATTTCTCCCTCCTCCTCCCTCTCCCCCCCCTCTCCCCCCTCTCCCCCCTCTCCTCCCACCCAACTTCCCCCATTGCTTCTCCCTCCCCCCCCCCCTACCTCCTTCCCCCCTTCCAGTCCCTCAGCGCCCTAGACTGCCTTTACAGCATACACTTCACATCCCAGTGGGTAACCGTGTTACCACCCGACAGTTACCTCTACATCTCACCCCCACACACCCTCCTCTCCTTCCTCTCTCAATACGCCTCCAAGCCCTGGCTCACCTTCGGGGCACACAAGTGGAGCACGGAGAAATGCCGGGAGGGGATCGTATGGGAGAATGTTACGACAGAGGAATGGATGGGGTGGAGGGAGGAGAGTCCGTTTGTGGTGGAGTGGCTGGCGTATAGGCGGAGGGAGAATGTGTGTGAGGGGGGTGGGGAGGACCGGGAGAAGTGCATTGGGAAGGAGGGGCAGCGATCGCACTTCACTGATCCGAGAAAAGTGCGTGTGTGAGGGGTGCATGGGAGTGTGAGGGGTGCATGGGAGTGTGAGGGGTGCATGGGAGTGGAAGAGTGTTTTGAGACGTCTCAAAACGAGAAAAGTGCGTGTGTTGGGGAGAGCATGTCACTTATAACAAGATTTCCATTTATAACTCTCCATCACCCCGCATTCCCCTATTCCATGCAGGCTGGTGTCTTGGGCTACTATGATGTGAGAGAGACAGACCAGTGGGGAGAGCATGTCGTTTATAGCGAGATGCACAAAAACGTGTATCCGAACCTGCACGAGAGGTCCGGGTTCGGCCGGACCTGCCGAGAGGTCAGTGCAGCAGAGGAATGGGATGGGTGGGTGAGGGACGTTACTGCAGCTGATTACGCTAAGCAATTAAGGAAAAGCCCTCAGCCTCAGCCAGCAGCATAAATACTCCAATCCAAGATAGTTCATTTCTCTCAGTGTGAGTGTAGGAGCAGCTCATCAGAAGCGAGCATTTTTCCAGACTCCTCCTCTTCATAGTGTTCACCGAGCTAGCATAGTGACAAGAGACCATAGAGCATTCCTAGCGAGATTTCCAAATATTTTTGCGACTAATCATCCTCTTCATAGTGGCTAGTCTAGCTTCACTAAGTAACAGGGAGGGCAGGAAGAAAGCATCAGATATACGGGGATTGACTGCAGCAGCCTTGGTGCAAACACAAAGACGAGTCATTCTTACAGGCCAAGCCTAATCCTCTTCATAGTACTCAGACGCTAGTCTAGCCCCACTGAGCAGCAGCGAGGGCAGGAAAAAGGCAGCAGAGATGAGGGCCATGGCTGCAGCGGCCTTGGTGCAATCAATTAGGCGCATTTCACACTAATCATCTTCTTCATAGTACTCGGAAGCTAGTCTGGCACCACTGAGTAGCAGCGAGGGCAGGAAAAAGGCTGCAGAGATGAGAGCCATGGCCGCAGCAGCTTTGGTGCGAGCACAGAAGGTGTTGAAGGGTGTTGACCCCGTGCAGATGAAGGGACGGCCGGGCAGACCCTGGTCGTTGAGTGTTGTGATGGCAGCCGTGGCAGCACCGGCACTGAGGGCCATGGATAGTGCAATCTGTGAGGGGGAGGGGGACATGGCATGGAGTGGGAATGCCTTGGTGCGGGCGCAGAAGGTGTGGAAGGGCGTTGACCCCGTGCAGATGAAGGGAAGGCCGGGCAGGCCCTGATCGTTGAGGGTTGTGATGGCAGCCGTGGCAGCACCGGCACTGAGGGCCATGGATAGAGCAATCTGTGAGGCGGGAGGGGGACATGGCATGGAGTGGGAATGCCTTGGTGTGGGCGCAGAAGGTGTTGAAGGGCGTTGACCCCGTGCAGATGAAGGAACGGCCTGGCAGGCCCTGGTCGTTGAGCATGGTCAAGGCAGCCGTGGCAGCTCCAGCACTTAAAGCCATAGAGAGAGCAATCTGCGGGAAAGGTGTGTGTGGGAAGAGGGGGGTGGGGAGAGGAAACACAGAAAGAGGAATCCTTGGGTGCGAGCACAGAAGGTGTGGAAGGGCGTTGACCCCGTGCAGATGAAGGGACGGCCGGCAGGCCTTGGTCGTTAAGAGTTGTGATGGCAGCCGTGGCAGCACCGGCACTCAGGGCCATGGATTGAGCAATCTGTGGGAGGTGTGTGTGAAGAGGGATCAAGGAGTACTAGTGGGTGTCAAGGGATGGCCTGGCAGGCCCTGGTCGTTAAGAGTTGTGAGGGCAGCAGTGGCAGCACCGGCACTCAGGGCCATAGAAAGAGCAATCTGCAATAGAATGGTAAGGGGGGTTGCAAGTGGGTGGAATGGGTACGAGTGCAAGTGGGTGTGAAGGGGCGGCCTGGCAAGCCCTGGTCGTTGAGGGTGGTGAGGGCAGCAGTGGCTGCGCAGGCACTCAGGGCCACAGAGTGGCATAGGGCTAGGCAGTCACATGTCAGGAATGTGGAGAGGGAATGGCAGCGGTGCCAGCAGCAGGAGAGGGCCTTATGGGTGGGAAATGGTTGGAGCACCAGCACAGGGGCATGTTGAAACAGAAAGGAGGTAAGGTGGCAGTGTGGCATAGAGGGGGCCCGATGGATGGGAGAGGGAGTTTTAGAGAAGTGGAAAATTATTAACGGTTATGGTTCACCGCTGCCTGTGTCTAGGGAACAATAGAAGAGGAGGCGGGGAGGGTGAGGGTAAAGCAACTGGTGGGACACTCAGGCCAGCAGGAGCACATGAAGCAGGAGGGGGTGCTGGAAGCTAGAAGGTCATGTTGGCAGCTAGAAGTTTTATATGCTGAAAGCTGGTGTAGCTTACAAAGTCACCAATCACAATGGCCCAGAGCAGAGCCGTTGAGTGAAGCAGCTTCCCAGAAGCTGCCAAGAAGCAGTCCAGAAGCAGCATCAGCAGCGCCCAGAATCCCGCTATAACCGTCCCTGCTATAAGAAACGAGAAGGCGTGCCAGTTGGAGAACCACAGCAGCCCTGCCCCTGCGCGGATCATCACAGGGAAGGCGGAAACAGCAGCTGCTAGCTGCAGGAAGCGCAGCAGAGGGTTCAGCCACTGGGCGGCTTTTCGTGGACGTTTGTTGCGGAAACCGGATGGCTCCGGTCGGCCTGCTTGCGTCTCCATGCTGAGTGTTTGGGAGGGCAGGCTTTGAATGATGCGAGTGAGGGACCTTGAGGTTTGTTGAGGCTGGTTTCAGGAGAGCTAAGAGTGAAGCAGGTTAGGGACGTTGGAAGAATCAGCTGCAGAGCAGGTGAAAGGTAGCTTGGATGTTTTGATCTAGCACAGGCTGCAGTGCGGAGGGAGGAGTGGTGTTGTGTCAGGCTGTCGTAGAAGCTAGGGAGAACAAGCTAGTCAGGGAGGCTGGGAAGCAGACAAAGCTAGTGACGATGGGAATTCTGGCCGCCAGAGAGAAAGAAACGCCAGTAGTGGTTGTGGTGTGAAACCACATTGGCAGGCGGTTGGGAAAGAGGGAGGTGAGGTGGAGAACGGAGCGCAAGGATATAGTGCGCATGCACAGACTAGGGAAAAAAATGTTGCTGGCAGGAGCGCCAATTTTGAAGCGACGAGGCGCGAATTCGAAAGCTACACTTCGTAACTCTCACAAGGGGAATTGAGCGCGCTCGCGATGCCTACCTTGCTACGTTACACGTGTACTTCGCGCACGAGACGAGCAGCTGTCATTGGGTTAGGGCTGTGTTGTGGGATTCGCGAACTGCTTCCGAGAGATATCGCGAGTAGAAGCATTTTCACGTCAGCCTGAACCAGCTGTTTGAGCATCATGAGGGGGCTTGCATGACATTTGGTTTGGTAAATGAAGAATCGGTTGGGATGGGTTTGAGGGTGTATTCGATGACATTTTTCAGGCATCGGCGATAAAACTTCAGTTGCGGTGCGAGCAACTCCACATTTCTGGACATCTGGTTTCCTCGTCTCTCGTTGTTATGTTTGGAGCACAGGCAGGCAGCCCTCTCACCCCCTCCTCTAGTCGTCAGTGGCTTCGCCATTTTTTTCCGCTTAGCTCCTCAGCACCCGACGAACAGCAATTACCTTACCTTCTTGTTCAGGCATAAGAGAGTTCTACTGACGGGAAAATCGCCGGTGGCATTTTTTAGTTGATAGTCATTTTCAGAATTTTGCAAAGATGGTGCCAGAAGGAGAGAGACCGGCACCAACAGGGGAAGCAGCAGCGACAGGCGATAAACAGGTGGACACGAAGGGGAGATCTCCTGACCAATATGTGTCGATTTTATTAAGGTCTATCTCCTCCTCACACAAAATCATTTTCACCATCATCACGTATCAGTTTTGATAGGTCCAGACTTTTTATTATCCCCCGAATATTTGTTGCTTTTTGAAGCCGTTCAGTATCAGTACCATCAGCAGTGCATGGCATACAGCTGATTACGATTCTACCTTTAATGCTTTCTGTGCAGACTTCTTCAGCTGGCGTCATCAGTCATATCCTTTGTGGTGCTGCTTAAAGCAGGCCACCTTGACCTCACCTTCCGAGTAAACATACATCCTAATAGCCCTAACTGGTTTTTTGTACCATATCTGCCCTCCTGGATATCAGTGCATGGGAGCTCAAAGCAGGCCTTCAGAGTAGACGTCGTTCTCTGTAGCCCCACCTGCACTTCTCTCTATACGTGTAGTTCTTCTGGGCCCCTTCCTATGCCACTGCAGCATTCAATTCTATTCATAGGACTGTCTCACTACCGTATTCACTTTACGATCTAACTCTGCTTAATGTTTTTCTCCGTCTCTTGTACCGCTCTGGCAGAGGTACCAGGCCTTTCGTTACCTGCTGGCAGGCATGGTCATAACAGCTGCTTGGTCCCTCCTCATGCTGCTGATAGAGCTGCTCCAACTTGCCATGGGTCGCAAACTCCGGTCCCTGATTTGGCGAGCTCTTGTCTATCTCATGGACATTGTGCGTTCCATTCTGTATTGCCCTGTACTTACCTTGATGCCAGTCTGTTTTTCTTGTCATTCTAATGTTATTTGCCATCTTGGATTGTTGTTGCCTGCCCTGGTGCAGCTTATGGCCTTGGTTGCCCTCAGTGCGGGAGCTGGTGCTGCAGCTGTTACCACATTCAATGACAGGGGAATAGTGTTGTTCAACTATGCTCCATGTGTTGGACCATCACCTTATTCTAGGTTTTGTTCAAGAACCAAGGCCAGCACAGCATTTGCATTCATCACATTCTTCTTCTTCCTTCCTCATATATTGCTGTCTGCCATCTCCTATTTCATTCGGTTCTTTGAGGGTTAGGGGGAATGATGTAATTGCTATGCTTGATTGAATAAAGTGTAGGATGTCTGTGGATTTTGCTTTAGCTGTGGTGTGAGGTGTGGTGTGGTGTTGAAATTTGGAGATGCAAGTGTCGCTCCCTGTCATCATGCGTTCTTTGGGTATCGCCGGCTTCAGTTCGGTTGGAACTACCTGAAACCATCTCTACAATCGGACGGCCTCAAACGACTGACACCCTAGAGAATCCGCGCGCGCTTTTTTAGAAAACAGTCATCCAATTACTGACGGAAGGCGTCAGAAGTTCGGAAAAACTCGTAATCCGTTTAAATACGCGTTACTGTGTTCGGAACATTCTTGAACGTTAGCGTTTGTATGTATGGCAGCTTCGATATTGCCTCGGTTTTGCTCTTCCCTCCTTCGGAACTTCCGAGCGTGTTTTTGATCAGGCATCTCTCTCGAGCTTTCTTTTTCCATGCAGCACCTAACACCAGTCAGCAGCACTCGAATCAGTCTTCACTAGCAAAGAGATTTAGTATTGTGCAAGGTAGTCACTAGCATTTCCGAAACGGTTGACCGTTGCTGGCACCTAAATTAGGCCACGTCACCATTTCGTACTCTCAGTTCCGCATTTTCCTGCTGCCTGAACTTTATTGTCTTACCTTAGCTCCTAAGATCGCATTTGCGTAATGGCGGAAGCAGCGGCAGCATGGCAGCCGTCGGAGCAGGGAGCGAACGAGATCTGCACGCTGCTGCACGAATACCTTAAACCAGGGGTCGATCAGGCGCGAATCTTCCAGGAACTACAGCGATGCAGCCAATTCCCAGATTTCAACAACTACCTTGCGTTCCTTCTGTGCAAGGGAGAGGTGTGCATCCGTCATTTTCCGCTTTTTTAAGGAGACGATAGATTCCTATGTTTCAGCGACTGCCTCGCATTCCCTTTCGTGGTAGGGAAGTTGCGAAGTTGCCGTCCGGTGAATGATGGAAAACAATTAAAAAACTAAAAAGTATATTCGCGACGCGACTATGTTTGGTTTCTGTTTACTATCCTATATGTCTAGTTCGAGTAACTCTCAATGCTTCAGGCCCAGCGTGTTACTTCGTACGCGAGGTTTCGAAGCAGTCTTTAGTCTCACGGAAGCTAATCGAGCATTAAGGATCTAGTCAATCAATCGTCAAGGTTCGGTGAATGTAGTGTAAGGTGTTGGGGATTTGTTAGAATTAGCACCAAGGTTTAGTTGTCGATCAAAGGTGGATCATCGTTCAGAATCCTCTAAGATTGACCGTTTGAACCCCCGATGCCGAGGCTGATGTCGTTTGGTTGTATCGCGATCCATATAATTAGTTACGCGATCCGACTGATCCTTACAAGAATCGATTGACTGATTTTAACGCGATCCACGGTCTTGAAGCGTCAGTCTGTGCTTATTGCTCACGCGCCGATCGCTTGGCTGCTCGCGATCCCTGTGTGCTTACTGATTTGCTTCCCATGGTTCTGATCGTTGCTCATGTTACTCCTTTATCACCCCTTCTTACTTAATGACCGTTCTCGTAGTCCCAGGGTACTTTGCTTAGTCGTTTGTTTGCATCTGAAATTTCTACCTTTCCTCTTCCCCCCCCCAACCCCTCCATCCCCTCCCTCCCCTCCCCCGCTCTCCTCCCTTCCCCTTCTCTCCATCCTCCCCTGCAGAACCAACCTGTGGAGGTTCGTCAGAGCGCGGGTCTTCTCCTGAAAAACAACCTGAGAACCGGCTACGAGAACCTGAACCCTGCCTATCTGGCCTACATCAAAGCGCTCCTGCTGCCGTGCATAGGCCTTCCGGACCACCAGCTACGCGGTACAGTGGGCACCGTTATATCGTGCATTGTGGAGCAGCAGGGCGGGCTGCATGCGTGGACGGATCTGCTGCAAGTGATGCTGCAATGTTTGGATTCGAACGATTTCAGCCACATGGAAGGGGCCCTCGATGCCCTTTTTAAGGTCGGTTAATGAGTCTGCTTGTATCGAGTCCAGAGTTTGGGCCACGTCGGACCTGCTGCAAGTGATGTTGCAGTGTTTGGATTCGAACGATTTCAGCCACATGGAAGGGGCCCTGAATGCTCTGTTTAAGGTGTATTAACGGGTGTGCTTGTAACGAGTCCGGGGGTTGGTTCTAGTCCGAAGGTGCTGCAAGGGATGCTGGAGTGACTTGACTCGAACGAATTTGGCCTCCCTCGTATACCCTTTCTCCCTCTCCCCCTGCCACTCCCCCTTCCCGCTCCCCTCACCCCCCACACCCCCCTTCCCCCCCGCACACTCCCTCCCTTCCCCCCACCTCAACCCCACCCGTTCTTTCCAGATGAGCCGCTGCAGGACATGCCGCTGCTTCTGGACAGGGACATCCCTGGTCTGGCGGAACGCCCCATCACCGGGTTCCTGCGTCCTGCTCCCCTCGTGTCCCACTGTCTGCTTCGTCAATACCCCCTCAGATGAGCGGGGACATGCCTCTGCAGCTTGACAGGGACATCCCCGCTCTGGCGGAACGCCCCATCATCGGGTTCCTGCCTCCTGCTCCACTCATACCCCCGCCTCGAAACCCCCTACTTTCGCCCCCAACCCATCTCCAACTCACTCCACCCCTCTCCACCCCTCAGATGAGCGAGGACATGCCGCTGCAGCTTGACAGGGACATCCCCGGGCTGGCAGAGCGCCCCATCACCGTCTTCCTGCCCCGCCTACTGCAGCAATTCGCCTCGCCGCACGCCAGCTTGAGAAAGATGGCGCTGGGGAGTGTGAACCAGTTCATCTTGCACATGCCCAGGGTAGGTGCTGGGAGGGGTGGGTGGGGTGGGTATTGGGAGGGGTGGGATAGTGCTATTACAGGATGGGATCTGGGATTCCTGCTGCGCCTGCTGCAGCAATTCGCCTCGCCGCACGCCAGCCTGAGGAAAATGGCGCTGGGAAGCGTGAACCAGTTCATTCTGCACATGCCCAGGGTAAGAGGTGTTTGGGGTGGGGTTAGGCAGTGCACGCTTGCACATGTACAGGGTGGGGTTTGGGAGCTCAGTGCCATAACGCGTCTGCTGCAGTCTTTGCCTCGCCGCACGCCAGCTTGAGAAAGATGGCGCTGGGGAGTGTGAACCAGTTCATTCTGCACATGCCCAGGGTAAGAGGTGTTTGGAGGTAGACAGTGGGTGGGTTTTGGGGAGGGCAATGCGCATGTAGCGCGTCTGCTGCAGCAAGTCGCCTCGCCGCACGCCAGCCTGAGGAAAATAGCGCTGGGGAGTGTGAACCAGTTCATTCTGCACATGCCCAGGGTGGGTGCTGGGAGGGGTGGGAGTGTGTAGCACAGGACATGCCAAGGGTTGGTTGGTGCTGTTTGGAAATGCTCAGATTCGCCGCACGCCAGCTTGAGGAAAGTGGCGCTGGGGAGGGGAGTGTGAACCAGTTTATTCTGCACATGCCAAGGGTAGGTGTTGGGGAGGACTGGGTGGTTCACAGCACATGCACAGGGTGAGTGAGCTGCACTCGCCTCCTCCTTCCTACGCATCTTGTTCTTCTGCTATATTTTCTGGGATTGGAAGGATTTTGGGGAGCCTTGGAATCACCCCTACCTCCGCTCCGCTTCTCCCTCTATCCTCCCTCCACCCCACCCCTTTTCAAAGTCCGTTTTGGGGCGCCTTGGAAAACAGACTCCTCCCTCCCCTCCTCACGCATCCGCCACACCTTCAGGTGCTGCTGGTCAATATGGACAGCTATCTGCAGGGCCTCTTTGCTCTCAGATCCGACCCCTTCCCGGAAGCTCCTCAAAAACAAACTCCTCCTGCCGCCTATTCCCCCTCCTCCACCCGCGGTCCACCTCCAATTTCCCCACTGCCAGGTGCTGCTTGTGAACATGGACAGCTACCTGCAGGGCCTTTTCGCTCTCGGATCCAACCCCATCCCGGAAACCCGATTTGACGCCCCTCAATGACAAACTCCTCCTTCCACCCACCTCTCCCTCTCCAAACCCCATGACCCCCCCGCACTGCCAGGTGCTGCTAGTGAACATGGACAGCTATCTGCAGGGCCTCTTTGCTCTCGGATCCGACCCCATCCCAGAAGTCCGCAGGCTGGTGAGTCCCTAGCACCAGCACTGTTCTCAGCAATGACCCTCCCCCACCAGCGATGACACCCCCCCCCCCCTCCCCAGCGATGACGCCCTTCCAGCAATGACCCCCCCCCCCCCTCCCCCCCCCCCCCCCAGCGATGACCCCCCCCAGCAATGAACCCCCTCCCCTTCTTCCCCCCCCCCTCCCCCCCTCCCCCCCTCCCCCAAGCAATGAACCGCCACCCCTCTCAGCAATGAACCCCCCTCCCAGCAATGAGCACAGCACAGGCACCTACAGGAAACTTCTAGTTTCTTTCGTCTGTGACTTGTTCTGTTTTTAATGCCCCTGTCTTGTGCTGTTTCTGACGCCCCTGTTTTTGAATATTGTGTTTAGATTGTTGCCCCTGGTGAGAGTCCTCGTCAGTGCTCGCTCCCCTCCTTTTCTCACCACCTCTGTCTGTCCTCTTCCCGTGCTGAAACTCGAGATCTGCTGGCAAAATCCGGTCTTACCATGCATGTCCATATCCTGTCACCTGTGTATCCTGTGGCTGGTTGTGTGTGACTGCAGGTGTGCTCAGCTGTGGTCCAGCTTATCGAGTTGCAACCTTCCTTCCTCCTGGTAAGCTAAGCACCTTGCTTCTTAAGCAGCTTCCCGCTTAAGCACCCTCTGTCTTAGGCACCTTCCACTGAGTAAGCACGCCTTACCTCCCTAATCCCCCCTCCTCCATGCTGACCTGTCTCCTCCAGCTGCACATGCGCAATTTGATAGAGCTCATGCTCGCATCCTTTTATTCCCCCAATCTCCTCCTCTTACCCCACCCTCTCCCCCCTCTTCCTTCTCCCTCTTCCTTTGGTCCAACCCCCTCCCCACCAGCCACGTGTGCACAATGTGATCGAATTCATGCTTGCATCCTCGTGAGATGCTGACCCAATTTTCCTCCCTTTTCTCTGCTCTTACCCCCCCTTCGCCCCCACCCCCGTCCTCACGTCTCTACCCCCCAGCCGCACATGCGCAATGTGATAGAGTACATGCTCGCTTCCACATGAGACGCTTGTCCATCCGTCCCATTCTCCCCTTTCGCTCCTCTTACCCCCCACCCCCTCCACTCTATCCAGCCGCACAAGCGCAATGTGATAAGAGTACATGCTAGCTAGCTTCCACGCGAGACTCTGACCCCGATGTGGCTCTGGATGGAAGCGTTTGAGTTTCCGAGGAAATCAACCCACGTATTCCCCTCCCCCCTCACCCTCCCTTCCCCTTGCCCCTCACCCTCCCTTCCCCTCCCCCCTCACCCTCCCTTCCCCTTGCCCCAACCGCACATGCGCAATGTGATAAGAGTACATGTTGGCTTCCACACGAGACGCAGAGGCATCTATCCATTTGATCTCCCCATCCTCTCCCCTCTCTTCCCTCCTCCCCAACCACCTCAACACCCCCTCACCCCAGCCGCACATGCGCAATGTGATAGAGTACATGCTCGCATCCACACGCGATTCTGACCCCGATGTGGCTCTGGAGGCGTGCGAGTTCTGGTCCGCCTACTGTGAGAACAACCAGTCGCCCGAGATGCTACGGGAGTTCCTGCCCCAGCTTGTGACGGTACAGGCTTGCAGCTTCTCTCTCCCTGTTTGTCCCCATTCCTCACACACGCGTCCACCCCTCGTCACTCGTTTCTGACCTTTTTCTCAAAACCATCTCTTTCTTTCCACCCACCCATCGCCCCAATCGGTGCGAATTTGAACCAGACTCTTCTGACACAACCTGTACAAGCAGACGTTTCCGAAGTCATTTGAAACTCCCTCTTTCTTCCCCTCCTGCCTTGCTTCCAAACCGGCCTGCCTGCTTCATGTGAATGTGAACCAGGTTCTCCTGACAAACATGGTGTATGCAGATGATGACGACGCAGTCATCGATGCTGAGGTGCGATATGTGCATACACGGGCTCATGCATGGGTTCATGCATGGGGAGTCTTGCATGGGAGTCTTGCATGCGGTGATGCATAGGGTGCATGGGGATAAAATGCATGGGAGCGTTCATGGGATATGTTTCATGGGTGCATGGGATGTGATAATGGAATTCTTCGCAAAATGGCCCACACCACACTCACTCCTATTTCCGCTTGATGCCGGATCGGAGCCGTTTTTTTTTAGCTTGTGCAGGGTTACTTGCTTGCATGCATGCGTGCACACTGCTTGTGAATGAGAGGTTGAGTCGACCGAATTTAACATCCGATCTTGCCATGTGACCCCTATGTTTTTTGTCACTCTGCCGCTGTGCCCCTCGCAGGATGAAGGAGACGCACCCGATTCTGATCAGGTGAGGACCACTTTCCCTTTGGTGACCTCGTTTCCTCTGGGTGGGTTAGTTGATAGCCCTTATTTTTTTTTTTCGAATTTCTCAATAATGGATTATGGGTCTATTTAGAATATAGGATACACCCTAATTTCGATCAGGCAAGGAGGGCCACGTCTTCCTTTTTTCGCCTCATCTTTCACTCCTTTCCTTTCCCACTCCCCACGTTTCCTTCTTTTCAATGGGCAGGCTCTGTCCCTTGTTGCTCCTCCCTTGTATTGAAACGTCTCAAGACTCTTCCGCATTCGTCCCTGTCTGTTACCCCTCCCAGGATCTCAAGCCGCGATTTCATCAGTCCAGGCTACACGGTGCCAATGGCGAGGTGAGAACGACTTCAATTGACTGCAGACCTTGCAAAGAAAGACTTAATGGTTGTAGAATTATATTTGGGAGCTTGCCAGAAGCTTCCGAGTTAACCCAAGTGACTTGATTTGTTCCCCTTGCAATGCATCTCGTTGGCTCACCCCGCCGGCACACTCACGCTTACATACGTACCCCTACCCTCCCTTCTTCACACTTGCCAGGACGCGGAGGAGGACTACGATGAGAGTGCGAGCACGTGGAATCTGCGCAAGTGCAGTGCAGCAGGGTTGGACATCCTCTCTCACGTCTTTGGGGACGCACTGCTGCCTATCCTCATGCCGCTCATCCAGGTGTGTTGCGCTTCGAAACCTTCGAGTCCCTCTGAGGCCTCTAAGCCCCACATGATCGCACCTGCTGCTACTGCTACCACACTCGCTCCTTTCCTCCTTCCCTTCCCTCCCTCCCTCCCTCCCTCCTTCCACCCACTCTCTCCATCCCTCCCCACGGGCCCTCCTCTCCCACCAGACGAATCTTGCAGACCAAAGCGAGGGCAAGTGGAAGGAGAGAGAAGCTTTGGTGTTGGCCGTGGGGGCCGTGGCGGAGGGCTGCATTGATGGGCTGCTGCTGCCCACGCTGCTGCAGATGATCGCCCACCTGCTGCTGCTACTGCTACCACACCCACTCCTTCCCCTCTTCCCTCTTTTATTCCTTCCTTCCCTCCTTCCTGTCGCCCTCCCTGCTTCCCTTCCTTCCCCCTCCCCATTCTCTCCCACCAGACGAATCTTGCAGACCGCAGCGAGGGCAAGTGGAAGGAGAGGGAAGCTTCCGTCCTAGCCGTGGGAGCGGTAGCTGAAGGATGCATCGATGGGCTGCTGCCCGCGCTGCCGCAGATGATCGCCCACCTGCTGCCTCTCCTGGAAGACTCCGTCCTTCCCTCACTCCTTCACTCCTTGACTCCTTCCCCCACTGCCTCCCTCGCTCCCCTTCCTGCTTCCCCTCCTCCCCCTCCCCTTCCCCCTCCCCTTCCCCCTCCCCTTCCCCCTCCCCTTCCCCCTTCCCTTCCCCCACCCCCCACCCTCCAGACGAATCTTGCAGACCGAAGCGAGGGCAAGTGGAAGGAGCGGGAGGCGTCAGTGCTGGCCGTGGGCGCGGTAGCTGAAGGATGCATCGATGGGCTGCTGCCCGCGCTGCCACAGATGATCGCGCACCTGCTGCCTCTCCTGGAAGACCCGCACCCGCTGGTTCGGAGCATCACGTGCTGGACACTGTCTCGCTACTCCAAGTGGATCGCCCGCGCCGTGGATAAGCCCGAGGGGCAGCAGCAGTTCGATGCCGTGCTGACTGGGTTCCTCGCGCGCATTCTGGACAATAACAAGCGGGTTCAGGAGGCTGCTTGTTCAGCTTTTGCCACACTGGAAGAGGTGAGACTGTGGGAAGGTTGAGGGGATAGAGCAGAGCAGAGCACAGGCAGGCTCTCACCTGCACGCACCCCCTGAGTTCCTCGTTCGGAGCATCACGTGTTGGACGCTGTCGCGCTACTCCAAGTGGATCGCCCGCGCCGTGGATAAGCCCGAGCGGCAGCAGCAGTTTGACGCCGTGCTGACGGGGTTTCTTGCGAGGATTTTGGATAGCAACAAGCGGGTTCAGGAGGCTGCCTGCTCTGCATTCCCCACACTAGAAGAGGTAAGGGGCTCAAGCGGGTGGCTAGACTAGAGCACAGGAGGGGCTGCTGCCTCTCCTAGAAGACCCGCACCCGCCCGTGAGGAGCATCAGCTGCTGGACGCTGTCTCACTACTCCAAGTGGATTGCCCGCGCCGTGGATAAGCCCGAGGGGAAGCAGCAGTTTGATGCAGTTCTGACTGGGTTCCTGGCGAGGATTCTGGATAACAACACGCGGGTTCAGGAGGCTGCTTGCTCGGCGTTTGCCACACTGGAAGAGGTGAGAGGGGGTGAGGGGAGTCCACAACACGTCTCCTAAAAAACCAACTTTTTTCCCCCTCTAACACCTTCGTGCCCTCTTCCCTTCTCCACCTTTTCACCCCTCACACCCCCTCCACCTGAGCAGGAGGCGGTGGACGAGTTATCTGATCGCCTGGAGCCCACTCTGCAGCACCTCGTATGGTCAACTCCTCCCTCGTATGCCCCTCTCAGGCTCAGCACCTCCCTTTCTCCTGAGAACCATCTTCCCCCCCAATATACCCTTCTGTTCCTTCCCACCACCTGAGCAGGAGGCAGTGGACGAGTTGCCGGATCGCCTGGAGCCCATTCTTCAGCACCTCTTTCACTGAACCATCTGCCCCTTCCCCCTCTCCTCTTCCCACCTCCTTTCCCCGTCTCCCCCGTCTCTCCGCCCACTTCTCCCTCCCCCCCCCCGCCAACTGAGCAGGAGGCAGTGGACGAGTTGCCGGAACGCCTGGAGCCCATTCTGCAGCACCTCGCCTTCGCGTTCAGCAAGTACCAGGTGATTTCAACAGAGCTTCAGGGGTAACATCAGGTGGGTGGCATCAGGATTTTTCAACGGATCAGGTCTTTGCTTCTCGAGACCGTATGACTGTGCTCGTCGGAACTGAATATATGGAAGGTTCTTGTAATAGACCATATTGTATGGAACCATGTTCTATGGCTGACGGGAATGTGTTGTATGGGACCCTCTCTTACTCCTCTCTTACCCCTCTCTTACCCCTCCTTTCCCCTCTCTTACCCCTCGCCTTGTTCACAGCGGCGCAACCTGCGCATTCTGTATGACGCAGTGGGCACTTTGGCTGACTGTGTGGGGGGTACGCTGCAAGATGTGAGTGACTGTATGGGGAGGGTGGGGCCGCATGGGGGGAGGGGCGGGTGGGGCCGCATGGGGGGAGGATGAGGCCGCAAGAGGGGAGGGGAGGGTGGGGTAGCATGGGAGGGGGGGGGGGGGTAGAGGATGAGGCCGCAAGAGGGGAGGGGAGGGTGGGGCCGCATGGGTGGGGGGGAGGGGCGCTGCAAGATGTGAGTGACTGTATGGGGAGGATGAGGCTGCATGGGGGGAGGTGTACGGCAAGAGTGTGTGATTATAGCTGTGGGGTTGCAGTCATCTAGTTCCAGGACGTCTCAAGAATTGTGATTATGGTTACAATACCTTTCGCGCTTCTCAAATGCTCCGCCCCCCTCCCCCTTCCTCTCCTTCTCCCTTCCCCACTTCCTCCCCTTCCTCCCCTTGCCCCCTTCCTCCCCTTCCCCCTTCCTCCCCTTCCCCCCTCCACCCCTCTCACCTTCCCCCACCAGCCACGCTACATTGCAGTGCTGATGCCGCCTCTCACAGCCAAGTGGCAGCAGATATCCGATTTCGACCATGACATCTTCCCGCTGCTCGAGTGCTTCACCTCTGCCCATACCAACTCCTACACCTCTATACTTCCCTTGCCCTCCCACGCGGTCCCTCCCCTGTCTCCCTTCAGCCGCGTTACACCGCTGTTTTAATGCCGCCTCTCACAGCCAAGTGGCAGCAGATCTCCGACTTTGATCGAGACATCTTCCCGCTGCTCGAATGCTTCACCTCGGTAGCTCAAGCCCTGGGCCCCGCCTTTGCTCCCTATGCTGAGACGGTGCTGGCTCGCTGCTGCCATATCATCAGAGTGCAGCTGGTAGCACAGGTATGTAGTGCGGTGGAGAAGGGTGTAATTCTCTGTAGAGGGGTGAAATGTGGTGACGCTGGGTTTATGGGATGGGGGTGTGTGTAGCTCAAGCCCTGGGCCCCGCCTTTGCTCCCTATGCTGAGACGGTGCTGGCTCGCTGCTGCCATATCATCAGAGTGCAGCTGGTAGCACAGGTATGCAGTGCGGTGGAGAAGGGTGGAGAGGGAAACTGTGGGTTGGGGAGGGGTGTGTGTGGCTCAGGCGCTGGGCCCCGCCTTTGCTCCCTGTGGTGAGACGGTTCTGGCACGCTGCTGCCATATCATCAGAGTGCAGCTCGTTGGCAGGTATGTTATTGCTCTGTGAGGGACGAAAAGCGGTGGCAGGGAGTGAGAGGCCTGTTCGCCCGTCGCTCAGGCTCTGGGCCCTGACTTTGCTCCCTATGCTGAGACGGTGCTGGCGCGCTGCTGCCATATCATCAGAGTGCAACTCGTGGCACAGGTATGCAGTGCGGTGGAGAAGGGTGTAGTGCAATGAAGAGGGGAACTGTGAGTTGGAGAGGGCTGTGTGTGGCTCAGGCTCTGAGCCCCGCCTGTGCTGCTCCTTACGCCGAGATGGTGCTGGCGCACTGCTGCCATATCATCAGAGTGCAACTCGTGGCAAAGGTATGCAGTGCGGTGGAGAAGGGTGCAGTACGGTGATGAGGGGAAATGTGGGTTGGGGAGGGGTGTGTGTGGCTCAGGCTCAGGGCCCAGCCTTTGCTCCCTATTCTGAGACGGTGCTGGCCCCCTGCTGCCATATCATTAGAGTGCTGAATTTTAGCTCCTATTCCCCCTCCTTCCGCCCCGCCCTCTCCCCACTTTCGCCACATCGTCTCCCCATGGCAGAAGGATCCAGCAGCAGCGGGGGCGCCATACGACAAGGAGTTCATAGTGTGCGCTCTGGACCTCAGCTCACATCTCCCCCCCACCTCCTTTGTGTGTTCTGCATCTCCCTCCTCCTACCCCTCACCCCCATGGCAGAAGGATCCAGCAGCAGCGGGGGCGCCATACGACAAGGAGTTCTTAGTGTGCGCGCTAGATCTCAGCTCAGGAGTCATCGAGGCCCTTGGACCGTCTGTTGAGCCCCTGGTGAGTGATTCGCATTCCAGAGGCGCCTCAAAACTGGTCCTCATACAACAAGGAATCAAATATACTTTCTCCCCCTTCCCACGTTCCCCAACCTGATCATGAATTTCAAAGAGGCACTTGTTCCTACGTGATGCCCTGACTCTCCCCTTATCATGCACCCGCCATTCCCCACCCCCAGGTGAAAGAAGAGTGTTTTTGAGACGTGAAAGAAGAGTGATTTTGAGACGTGAAAGAAGAGTGTTTTTGAGACGTCTCAAAGAGGCACTTGTTCCTACGTGATGCCCTGACTCTCCCCTTATCGTGCTCCCCCCACTCCCCACTCCCAGATCGCCAAGAGCGACTTAAGAGACCTGCTGCTGCAGTGCGACGCAAACAAACCTCTTTCTTCCCCCTCCTTGTACTGATTCCCTCTGTCCCTGCTTGATCCACTGGCTTTCCACCCGCAGGTCGCCAAGAGCGGCTTGACGGACCTGCTGCTGCAGTGCTGTGCGGTGGACGCCAACGACGTCAAGCAGAGCTCTCTCGCCCTCTTGGGTGACCTCACCAAGGTGTGCTTTGCTTTGCTAGACTGTCTCTGATAGGACGTACCAGACAATGCAGTGCAGTGCAGTGCAGTGCAGTGCAGTGCAGTGCAGTGCAGTGCTGTCACTGCTGTGCTGTGGACGCCTCAGCGACTTCCTCTCAGTGTGCGTGGCCCAGCTGACATGCTGCCACGTGTGTGCACCCATATGTCTCCCTCGCCTCTCTGCCCTTCTCTCCCCCTCTATCCACCTCTCTCCCCCTCGCTACCAGTCATGTGTGCAGCAGGTCCGGCCCCGCCTCAACGATTTTCTCTGTGTGTGTGTGACCCAGCTGACATGCTGTCACGTGTGTGCACCCATATCTGTCTCCCTCGCCTCTCTGCCTCTCTCTCCCCCTCGCTACCTGTCATGTGTGCAGCAGGTGCGGCCGCGCCTCAACGACTTCCTCTCCGTGTGTGTGGCCTAGCTGAATGGTCGGCATGCTTGCATCCCCCATCTCCCCCCTGACTCTTTCCCCATGACTCTCCCCCCCCTGCTCCCACCAGTCGTGTGTGCACCAGGTCCGGCCCCGTCTCAACGACTTCCTCTTCGTGTGTGTGGCCCAGCTGAACGGTTGGCATGCTTGCATCCCCCATCCCCTCTCCCCTGTCTCGTCCCATATCTCCCCCCTGACACTCTCCCAACGACTCTCCCCCCCATCTCTCGCCAGTCATGTGTGCAGCAGGTGGGGCCGCGTCTCAACGAATTCCTCTCCGTGTGTGTGGCCCAGCTGACATGCTGCCACGTGTGTGCACACATCTGTCTCCCAACGACTCTCTCCCCCCTCTCTCGTCAGTCATGTGTGCAGCAGGTGCGGCTGCGCCTCAACGACTTCCTCTCCGTGTGTGTGGCCCAGCTGAATGGCCCCGAGTCCTTTGTGCACGAGCGAATTTCGGTCGCCAACAATGCGTGCTGGGCTCTGGGAGAGCTTGCTGTGAAGGTCAGTGATGTGCTGGACTAGTGGTAGTCAAAAGAGTTTCTCAGAGGCTGGTGGGGTGAGAGGGAAGAGTTTGGGGGAAAAAAGCCAGCTGAACGGCCCCGAGTCCTTTGTGCACGAGCGATTTTCGGTCGCCAACAACGCGTGCTGGGCTCTGGGGGAACTGGCAGTCAAGGTATGCACCCAATGCTGGTGGGGGGAAGGGGGCGAGGAAGGGGGAGAGTTGATGGGAGAAGCCCAGCTGAATGGCATTGATTTTAAGTCAACTCAAAAGTAAAAAAGGGGAGGGTTGGTGGGATAAGCCCAGCTGAATGGCCCCGAGTCCTTCGTACACGAGCACATCTCTATCGCCAACAACGCATGCTGGGCTCTGGGGGAGCTGGCTGTTGACCCTGTTGACCCTGTCTTTGTGCCCTGGTCAACTCTCAACAGGTGCGAAAGGAGATAGAGGCAGCCGTGGTGCCGGTGGTGAACAACATCGTAGCGCCATCCCTTGGTTGACTGTAGTAGTGTTTCATTGACCTTGTTGACCCCATTGACTTGATTGACCCTGTTCAGTTCACCCCATCCCTTGTCAACAGGTGCTAGAGGAGATAGCGCCAGCCGTGGTGCCGGTGGTGAACAACATCGTAGCGTCATCCCTTGGTTGACTGTAGTAGTGTTTCATTGACCTTGTTGACCCCATTGACTTGATTGAACCTGTTCAGTTCACCCCATCCCTTGTCACAGGTGCTAGAGGAGATAGAGGCAGCCGTGGTGCCCGTGCTGAACAACATCGTTCCTGTCCTCGCTCTATTGACTGTAATGTCTTTGCCACCCCACTCCCCCCGTTGACCCCATTGACCCCATTGACCCCATTGACCCTTATTGATTGACTCTCAACAGGTGCGAAAGGAGATAGCGCCAGCCGTGGTGCCGGTGCTGAACAACATCGTTCCCGTCCTCACATCAGCACAGAACCCACGGGTGAGTGCTGTGCTGCACTTGATGCTTCACTGGGTTGACTGCATTGACTAGCTTGACTCGGTGCTGAATAACATCGTGCCCATCCTCACCTCCGCACAGAACCCACGGGTGAGTGCTGTGCCGCTCCGATTTATATAGCTGGTCTGACTGTATTGACTTGCTTGACTAGCTTGACTCGGTGCTGAATAACATCGTGCCCGTCCTCACATCAGCACAGAACCCGCGGGTGAGTGCTGTGCTGTGCTGACTAGAGAAACTCTCTCTCGAAAGAGTGAACAAACGCCAACTGTCCGTCTGACATCTCCAGCGAGCAGCAGAGCCCCTTTGTGTTTTCCTCTGCTAGAGAAACTCTCTCTCTCTCTCGAGAGAGAGAGAGAGCGAACGCCAACCAGGCACCAATCTAGCGCACGTGAAGAACTGTGATTTCCTCTCACGCTGCTATACAACTGCCCACACTTGTAACCCCCCTTCCTCCTACCTGAAGTCCCCCCCCCCCCCCCCCCCCCCCCCCCTTCTTCCCTCCCCCTCCAGGGCGCCAATCTAGCTGTCGTGGAAAACTGTGCCATCACGCTCGCGCGCTTCGAACCTACCATGTGCTTCCCTGACCCTGATAAATGCGCCCACTTTCCCCCTCTCCTTCCCTTACCCCTCCCTCACTCTCCTCCACAGGGCACCAATCTAGCCCTGGTGGAGAACTGTGCCATCACGCTCGGCCGCTTTGCATGGGTGTGCCCTGACGTGCTGGCACCCCAGGCCTCTCTCTTCCTCGTGCCCTTCCTCACCACACTTAAGGGGTGAGTTATGAGGCAACCATGGGTGAGTCCCAAACAGGGCTTTCGTCGCCCTCTCGCTTCGCCTGGGTGTGCCCTGACGTGCTGGCCCCTCAGGCCTCTCACTTCATGGGTTCCTTGCTCACCACGCGCAAAGGGTGAGTCCCAAACAGGGCTTTAGTCGCCCTCTCGCTTTGCATGGGTGTGCCTGACGTGCTGGCCCCTCAGGCCTCTCTCTTCCTCGTGCCCTTCCTCACCACGCTTTAAGGGTGAGTCCCAAGCATGCTGCTCTAGCGTCCTGCCCTGCTAACGTCTTGTCTTGGCGCCCCAGGCCACTTTTCCTCGTGCTCTTCCTTGCCACAAGCCTGACATTGCTCATCCCCTCCTCTTGCATTTCTGATAGTTTACTTTCTTCTTGTTACTCGCCTCCTCTTTTTTCCCTCATTACTCGTGCACTCCCCCCTCACTCCCCCTTCCCCCTCCCCCTCCCCTTCCCCTCCTTTTTTTTCTCCACCTGCTTTCCGTTATGCCCCCATTTCACCCCGTTCTCCAACCGCACATCCCCTGTCTCAGTCCTGCTTCCACCCACACCTCTCCCTATCTCCCCCCCCCTCCCCTCCCTTCTTCTCCTCAGAATCCGTGACGACGTGGAGAAGGAAGAGGCATTTAAAGGGCTGTGCGCTGTGCTGACTTGCGCTCTCATTTTTCTCTTGCTCCTACCTCTCTTCCCCTGTTCCCCTGTCTCCGCCCCTCTCCCCCCTCTCCTTCTCCCCAGAATCCGTGACGACGTGGAGAAGGAGGAGGCATTTAAAGGGCTGTGCGCTGTGGTGAGTTCATTGTGCCACATTTGAGATTTCCCTAAAGTGACACAAACTGCTGCTGTCGCAGCTGCTGGGCTGTTTGCTGTATATATGCGTTGGTGCCCTGTGATTTGCCCTGGCCCATATGCTTTGAGACGTCTCAAAACACTTCTTCATACACCTGTCGCCGCTGCTGTGCTGGTTGCTGTATATATGCGTTGGTGCCCTGTGATTTTCCCTGGCCCGTGTGCTGTGGTTAGCTGTGCTGCTGCACAGCCGTGCGCTGTGCTGTGTGCTTTGCATGCATGCCTTTCAGTCCCTCCATGCTCATGCTTTTATTCCCCTTGTCCCGCCATCCATCAGTCTACATGTCCCACTCTTTTACTCCCGATCCTGTGTCTCCCTCCTATTCCCCCGGCTCTCCCGTTTATCCCCACACACCAGTTGCGCCTCAACCCCATGGCAGCATCCACAGCCATCCACCCACTCACTGCTGCTCCCTTTCCCATGCCTTCTCTGTACCTCCCCTCCCCTCCCCCCTCCTCTCTCATCTCCCTTCCCCCACTTTTCCCCTTATCTTCCAGTTGCGCCTCAACCCCATGGCAGCATCCACTGCCATCCACCCACTGCTGCTTCCTTTCCCATGTCTTCCCTTTCCCCCCCACCGCCCACCCCCTCCCTCCCCCCTCCTCTCGCTCATCCTCCCCCTATCCCCCCCCCCACACACCAGTTGCGCCTCAACCCCATGGCAGCATCCACGGCCATCCATCCACTGCTGCTCGCCATTGGCAGCTGGAGGGTAGGTCGATGGTTCATGGCTAGCTAGCCTCAAACCCGGCATCTAGTTTTGAGACGTCTCAAACCCGGCATCTCTTTTGAAATTGATTACAGCAGTCGCCTGTGCCACCCTCCGTCAATTCGTCCTTACTTCTCCCCCTCTCCCAGCCTCACCACCCTCCATTTGTACACCCATGCGCATTTTGCCCCTCGCGCACGTGCACACACACAGACGCATATGCACACATAGACACTCCTACGATAACCTACTGTCAAACTTGCCCATTTGCAACCCTCTCATACCTTTCCAAACCATCCCCTTTATTGGCTTCCTCAGGAGATCCACAGTGCAGAGCTGAAGGCTGAGATTCACCAGCTGCTACAGGGCTTCAAGCAGGTGGGCTTTAAGACAAAAAAAAGGTATTGACCTTTCTATAAGGCACAGGTTTGGGAGCTCTCAAACCACAGTGCAGGGATAAAGGCAGAGAGCACCAGCTGTTGCTGGGCTTTAAGGGGGTGTATGCGGGCGTGTCAGCAACTCTCCTAGGCTAATCCAGCTCCCTGAGTCTCAGCCTTCTTTCTTTCCATGCATTTACTGTACACTGGAGGGAGGTGCGTGGGGCTTGCTGCATGTCCCTCCCATGTCCTTCTCTCGTCCCCCACGTTACATGTGGTAACCAGAGTTTTGTGTTTCGTCCTCTTTTCTCATCCCTCATGCACGACCTGCCCACAGATGCTAGTGGAGGCAGGCACATGGGATCAAATCCTGCAATCCACAGGTCGCCTTTAACGCCCCCTCTTCTTATTACACCCTTTTTCCCTCATCCCCATGTCTAATTTGCTCCACTACCCACAGATGCTAGTGGAGGCAGGCACGTGGGATCAAATCCTGCAATCCACCGACAAACCGCTGCTGCAGAAGCTCAGTGCGACGTACGGGATCTAGCTGTGCTGACGTGGCGGCTGACGTGGCAGCTGATGTGGCAGCTGGTGTGTGGCACGTTTTGTTGTCAGAATGGATCAGATTACAGGAAACCAGTAGCAGTGAGCAGCTGCGAAGCTGCCAGGAAGCTGCATCCGTAAAGCTTCCAAGTAGCAACGTAAATCAGCAGGCCTTATCACACCGCAGAAGGGGCCTTTTATGTAAGAATGTCATGAAGTGCCACAGAGATTTAGGGTGTTTGTTCAGCAGCAGGTAGAGGAGGTGAGCAGGCTGCAGCCTTCCACTAAGTGGGGAGGTGTGCAGCAGGAGCATGAGCAGCAGCAGTAGCAGCAACAAACAGCAGCAGCAACAGCAGCAGCACTTAACAAGATCTGATCCTGATTCGATTTGATGCGGCTACCCCCCGACTCATTTCGTCGCCGACCCTCCCGCTCACACGCCTCGCTACACCACCATCAACCATCACTCGCACAACCCATTTATACCCATCCATACCCATCCCCATTGACCACCCATACGGGGGCATGCCGACATCATGCTGACATCATAAAGGAGCACTCTCTGACCAATCAGAGAGCAGCAGGAGGAAGCGTGGTGGGCAGCGCATTGCTGCTGCCATTGCATCCGCCGACCAATCATACCGCGCTTGCATCATCTGCCACATAGGATGCCACGTAAGATGCTGCGCGTGCCACGTCATCCCCATGGTGTACGATACTTTTCTCGGTTTATCTTCAATAGAATTGGTGTTGTGGGTTTGTATGCACCCCATATTAGGTAGAAGATTGTTTTATGTATGGTGTGATTGGTGGTGCATAATGGCGGGAAAGAATAGTATACAATAGACAGGTTTGCTAGCTTAGCTAGATCAGTCTGTTTCTTCCGTCAAGTTTCAAAATACTGCGCTTGATAGGCTGTGCTGATGTTTTCCAGTTTGCAAGTAGCAGCTTGGGCATTTAGTGTTATGTTGTTATTCTTACTTGAGAGTTGTGTCCTTGAGAGCTGTTGAGTTCGTTTTTTGTTCAGATGCAGCAATAAGCATTTTTTGGCCGGAAATGAAGCACCTTGTATCTACGCACGCGCTCCTGCTTGGCAAACACTCTAGCGGTGAAAGGATTCATATTAAAACCAGGGTGCACATTCAACGCGGTTCGGCTTGAGATGTTGGGAAGGGGGTTTGGAGAAAAACAGTGATTGGCTCACGAGGGGCGACAAAAAAATGATTCCGCTAGAGCTTCGGGCATTTCGTAGGTGGCGGGACGGGGTGAAATGGCGGGAGTGGGTGAAACCGAATGGCGGGAGGGATGAAACAGATTGGCGGGAGGGGGGGGAAACGAAATTGCGGGGGAGGGGGGAAACAAAATTGCGGGGGAGGGGGGAAACGAATTTCGACGGGGAGGGGGAAATGAAATTGCGGGGGCGTGGGGAAACGAAATTGCGGGGGAGGGGGGAAACGAATTTCGACTTGAAGGGGTTGAAAGCACACCTCGTAACCCACTCAGTCAAGGGATAACCTTTGATGCACATTCAGCTGAATGTGCACCCCGGTTTTAAAGCCAACGGTCTCTAATGGTGTTCTACATAACAAACGCACTACCCAACACCACTACACCTCTCTCCAGTTACAGCACGACAAACTGCTGAGGTACTTATGATTTATGCTGTCCTTACTTAGGATTTCTTTGTACGACTTTATTTGTATAGATTCGAATTCTGTTAAAATACGTTAGCATCACATGCTACTCAACAACGAAGCTCCTGTGTATACGAGACGATCAAAGCGGGAGACGGAGGCCGGCCGAGCAGTAAATAAAGCTGAGAACTTTTTCAGCAAACAAATGTAGCCATGTGTCGATGAGTCTGTGCATGTGAAACTAATCCTTTGACTTGGCAGGAAGCGAGGCTGTTTTGACTATGGGTACGGCATCATCGTCCTTTCCTGCAGGCTTCTTCCCCCCCTTGTACTTCTGCATGTGACAGACAGGATGGAAGAAGGGCCGGAGGGATAGCACAGAGTGGGGGAGTGCAGACGTGTGAGCTGGGAAGGCTATGCCTCCCCTCCTCGCCTCTCAGACAGGTGAGGGACTGAATGAGGGAAAGCGATTATGGACGTTCCACCTGTTTTGAGACGTCTCACATTTTGAGGTGTCTCAGAACTCAACTATGGACGCATCACCTGCTTGCTCAAGGAAAAAAACATGGTTGCAATCAATGCTACGTTTTTTGAAAGCAGAAGGAAGAACTGGAGAGAGAGCAGCTGTGGTGCACACACACCAAGTAAGGACTATTACCTCCTTATTAAAGGAGATAGATTCTAAATTGGAGGGAGGAATTAAAAGTCAAGCTCACTTTCGACTAAGCCCAGAAATTCATTTGAGGTGCACAAAGCTGCTTGCCAAAGAAGAAAATGATACATTGTATTTTGTTAATTGGTTTGTGTTTTAACCACAACCAAGGTGAAACATACGCACCTGCTTGCCTAAGGAGAAGGGGACATATTTGTGTTTGATCATGTGGCGAATCTGGCACTCAATTAGTATTTGCACTTGTATTTTCATTTGATAACCCAAAGAGCCCGAACAGAAACTAGAGAGAACGCACCTGCTTCCCGAAGGAGAAGGGGACGTATTTGTATTTGATCATGTGGCGGATCTGGCGCTTCATGGTGAGCACGAAGAGCGTGAACCAGTACATTAGCAGGATTGGCCAGAACACCGGCACGTCAAAGATGGGGAAGAAGGTCATTGTGAAGGCCACGAGAAACGCCTTGGTCATTGCGTACCTGGGAAGGGGAGGGGGCAGGGGGGAGGAGAGGGGAGGACAAGGCAACGAAGAGGAAGGGAGGAAGGAGGAGAGGAGGGATGACCAGCACGTCAAAGATAGGGAAGAAGGTCATCGTGAAGGCCACGAGGAACGCCTTGGTCATCGCGTACCTGAAAGGAGGGGGGTGGGGAGGAGGGGATGGGAGAGGAGGAGAAGATGTATGAGGATGCGAGGGAACACCGGCACGCCAAAGATGGGGAAGAAGGTCATCGTGAATGCGACCAGGAACGCCTTGGTCATTGCTACCTGGAGAGGAGGGGGCAAGGGGGAGACATGGGTGGGAGGCGTGAGGATGGAAGAGGAGGGGAATGGAGAGAGGATGGGCCAGAAGACCGGCACGTCAAAGATGGGGAAGAAGGTCATCGTGAATGCGACCAGGAACGCCTTGGTCATTGCTACCTGGAAAAAGGGGGCTGGGTTGGGAGAAGTGGGGGTGGGAGGGGGGATGTGAATCGAAGAATAGGAGATTAAGAGAGGGGTGCGGGGGTGGGCGGAGAAGAATGGGGACGAGGAATGTGGATGGAAGAGGAGTGTGGATGGGAGGGTGTGGATGGGAGACGAGGAGAGGAGGGAACACTGGTCAATTTGAACCCCATGGTAAATGCCTTGGAAATAGGGGGTGTTGGGGCGGAGAGAGGAGGGGGAGGGGAAATGGGGGAGGGGGGGAGGGGGTGTGTGTGTGGAGAAGTGAGGAGGGTGTGGATGGGAGGAGGAAAACAGGATGAGCCGAGGTGGGGGAAAAGTGGGGGGAGGAGGAGGGGGGGTGGCTGTGAGGAGGAGGTGGGGGGTGGTGGAGATGTGGGGGAGGGGAGAATGTGGACGTGAGAGGAGGAGAATAAGGGAGAGGGGGAGGAGGGATGATTGTCCAACGGGACAGAAGGTCAATGTGATTGCGACGATGCATGCCTCAGTCATGACTTGCACGCGACAGGGAAGAAATATGGTGGGGGTGTGGTGGAGAGGGGGGGGAGGAGGAGGAGGGAGGCAAGATTGGGAAACGCACGATTAGAAGCAGCGAGAGTAGGGGCGGGAAGGGAGGTCAGGGAAGGAAGTAGGTTGGGAGGTACGATGGGGAGGGTAATAAACAAAGGAAACGATGGAGGAGCGTAAACGGCCAAGCATAGACATCACAAAGAGACCTAGATGCATCAGCAACAACAGCAGCAGCAGCAGGCAACCCTAAACTAGACCCCAACCCAATCCTCTCGACTCACCAGAACTTGAACTCTGGTAGCCGTCGGATGAAGGGCTTGAACTCATCGTTGCCCTTGGATGGCAGCACTGGCCCTTCCGCCTCAGGATCCACTTGAGGGGACAGAAACCCAATGAGCAGATTCAGCATGTAGATGCCCAGTCCGTACGTGATTATGTAATATCCGTGTAGGAAAAACACGCGTATGGTGTAGATGAGAGCAATAACGAGTGTAGCGATCCATCTGTACCCATAGTGCGGGGTCGACTTATCGAGAAAGTACTGTATCGGGGAGTGGGAAATGCGTGAGAATGGGAGTACGGAACGGAAGGAACGAATCATGTGCACCTGAGATAATACCCATCCAGGAAATTCGACTAAAAGAATACGTTCATATGATGTAGACAACCAATGCGTGAAAACGCGAACGGTGTTGACCACCAACATCGCCCGTTCTTCTAAGCGACGGAATGCCGCTGGCGAGCACAAGCTTGAGACCGAAAAGTCGCAACGACGCGCCTGAAACCGTTGTGTTACGAGGAGCATCGCGTGTTTGAATCCGTGGATTTATGGAGAACACTCACCTGAATCCGTTAAGTTCTGGCGAGCACTCACCTAAATCCGTTAACTTCTGGCGAGCACGCACCTGAAACCGTTAAGCTATGTCGGGCACGCACCTGAAACCGTTCACTTTTAACGAACACACACCTGAAACCGTTGAGCCAAAACGGCTCCGTTTCCTCCTGCCAACATCGAGGATCCCGCTGAATCTGACCGTCAAAATGCGGATCCAACGGTCACGAGCTTCTACCAAATCCGATGGCACAGCAGAGAGGCAGCAGCAGCAGCAAAAGACTGAAGAATCGAGACGCCTCCTTCGCTCGTAGCAGCACGACCTAATGGGGTTGGCGGAATTACCGAGTCAAGCGAAGGAACGATCACGTCGGACCTGATCTGGTATTAACGACTTGCTAACGATCACGCCGGATCAGCGTTATTACCAGCGCGAATCCGCGTTATAAGCAACGCGGGATCAGCAACTCGGGATCAGCAAAGCAGAATCAACAACGCGAACGTGAGACTAAGAGACTGAATTAGGATCTGTTTCCGAAGTCTCTCCCGCTTGACCTGCTGCTGCTGATGAATCGGGCCCGACAGGCTGCTAGCTGAAGTCTAGAGAAAGCTTTCTAGCAACTCAGCAGCAACAGTCTAACAAAGCAAGAAACTATTTTCGAGGTGACAAGGAGGAAGAATGGGTTGAATCGGTTCGGGTGGCTGGAATTCATCTGAGCAGCGGCTGACGTGACAAGAGGCAATCCCTGAGCAGTCTCGGGAGTTGAGTTTGGCGGGAAAGTCTGAACAGGCCGACCTAGAAGGTTATTCTTCAGGATCGCATCAACCTTGTCCTCCATCATAAAGAGCAGCAATTGCCGCGCTAATGTTTTTATTTAATTGCCTGAGTCCTGAGTTATATTCAACCCCTTTTCCTGCTCCCCTGAATTTCTGACTTAAGGTAGTAATTATTCCGCCTTCAAGACTTGAAAACTTTGTTTGAAAATATCATATCGCTTCCTTACAGGTAGGACTTAGATGCACCTGCACACCGTCAACAGTCATAATCAAGTCTTCTAAATTAAAACCGTCCAATTATTACAAGTTTTATGCACAAACATCGGTTCTGTGGTGCAGTGGTTAGCACTCTGGACTTTGAATCCAGCAACCTGGGTTCGAATCCCGGCAGAACCTTTTCTGCACGCCGATGTTGTCTCCACTGCTTTACCTTTCAGTTTTCCATCTTTGCTAATCTTATTACCGTGTCCCTACAGAGCCTACGGATAGTATAGTACGTAGCAAGGAGCCCATCATCAATGACAAGAGAATGCCCACAACTTTCTTACTTTCTTATGCAGGAGCACACCTTGAAGTTCCTACATCACAAACAAACTATAACGTACAGTAGTTGCATCCGCACATACAGTATGTTTCTTTATCCTGTTTTTGTTTCTAAAAGGAAGGAACCCTATAACTGAAGAAACGGCTCTAGGTTGATCTCCACAGCAGAGCAAGGATCAGGGATGTCAAAACGAGCAAGAACCTGAAACCAACAGGGACGACGTAGAAATACGTTGTAAGTACGATGAAGAGATGAGAGGGAGAGTGTAATCGACACTTGCAGTGGAAGGGAGTGGGATAGCGAGCGGAGAAAGAGGAGAACGGGACAGCAAGAGGGAGATTGGGATAGCGAGCCGAGAAAGGGGGTAAAATGCGATAGCAGGCCGAGAAAAGGGAGGAAAAGGGGATGGTGAGCCGGGAAAATATTATACATGTTCCAGGAAAGGCATAAAGTTAGTAAAATATAAATGCAGCGGAATAATGTAAGGACTCACCTCTGGGTGGACGACACCGAAGGTGCCAATGGATCTTCCTTTAAAGAGGATATCGGCCTGACGTCCCCCAAAGAACTGGGGAGACTGGAGGACGAACAGCAGAGTGTGAGGGAAATGTGGGGGAATGGGGACACAATGAGAACACATGAAGGATCTCTGTTAATCATCGATCGAAATCTGGAGGCCATATAGTTTTAGACGTCTCAAACGATCTCCCCTAGTCATAGATTGCACTATGGAGACCAGATAAGTGCCTCATAGCACTCAAGAAACTGTGCGGATCAAATCACAACCAGCATAGGTAAGGGAACCGGGAGGAAATGGGGCACGATGAAAACACGTGAAGAATCTCTCCTGTTCATAGATCGCACTATGGAGGCCAGATAAGTGCCTCATAGCACTCAAGAAACTGTGCGGACTGGAGGGCGAACAGCAAAGACGAAGGAAATGAGCGAGCAGGAACACAAAACAAGGAGACGTACTTGTCTAGGGCGGAAAAAACTTCCAGCAACAAAGAACTTACAAAAGACGTGTCAAGCAATCTTACTTGCGAGGGAGCAATGAAGAACTTGAGCGCCGCAGGAGCAGCCTTTGCATCCCCGCCGTCACCCTGAGCAGTCGGACCATCGGCGAGAGCCATTGTTCCGTCCGCCGCTGCCTGGCCTCCAAACGCCACTCCCAGCGATTCCATAAGCTGGTCGACAAGACCATGAATGACCTGTGAGCGTAGGGGGTGAGAGGAAGAGCGAAAAAAAGAAACCATTGAACCGTCCGCCCCTGCCTTCCCCCCAAACGCCACTCCCAGCGATTCCATAAGCTGGTCGACAAGACCATGAATGACCTGTGAGCGTAGGGGGTGAGAGGAAGAGCGAAAAAAAGAAACCATTGAACCGTCCGCCCCTGCCTTCCCCCCAAACGCCACTCCCAGCGATTCCATAAGCTGGTCGACAAGACCATGAATGACCTGTGAGCGTAGGGGGTGAGAGGAAGAGCGAAAAAAAGAAACCATTGAACCGTCCGCCCCTGCCTTCCCCCCAAACGCCACTCCCAGCGCCTCCATAAGTCGGTCCACCAGACCATGAATGACCTGAGGGGAAAACGGAGAGGGGGAGAGAGCAAGAGAGCAAGAGCCATTGAACCGCCCGCCCCTGCGTGGCCCCCAAACGCCACTCCCAACGCCTCTATAAGAAGGGAGTTTTGAGACATCTGAATCAGCTTCACAGCTACAGACCAGAGCCAAGCGCGCCCGCTACACGCTCACCTCGAAGCCAGAGTGCAGGTTGCAGTAAAGGGCAATCAGCCGCCTCTCGTTCCTCGCCCCCACGTCCTTGCTCTCGTCAAGCAGGCACACGTCCGACACCTCAAAGAGCTTCACGGGGCGGGGCGAGTCCTTGTTGCTGGCCAGGGTCTTGAGCATTCCGGGGAGGAGAGAGGAGCGCACCACCTGGGAAGGAAGAGTGTGGGGTTGACAGAGGGATAAGCAGGGAGCATGAGGCAACTCCTGCGACCTCTGGCCTGACAGGGCCACGCGAGACGAGTCCTTGTTGCTGGCGAGGGTCTTGAGCATTTCAGGGAGGAAAGAGGAACGCACCACCTGTAGAAAGGAAGAGGATAGAATATAAACAGGACTAACTTACGACGGTCATCCAGAAACACTCGCACGCATGCACCCACCTCGAAATCAGCCGACCGTGGGTTTCCGATAACAGCTGCCGTCTTGCCATCGTCTTTCAGGTTCACCATCTCAAAGTTCTCACTGCGAGCGGTGAGTGCCCACGTGAGTACCTCTGCCTTGCTCCCCCACACACTCAAGCAACCACACACTCAAGCAACCACACACACCCACCTCAAAGTCTGCAGAGCGCAGGTTGCCAATGACAACGGCCGTCGTGCCATCCTCCTTCAGGTTCACCATCTCAAAGTTCTCACTGCGGGCGATGAGCACCCACGTGCCACGCACGCGCCTTCCCCACACCCAAAAGCACCCACCTCAAAGTCTGCAGACCGTGGATTCCCAATAACCACAGCCGTCTTGCCATCGTCCTTGAGGTTCACCATCTCAAAATTTTCGCTGCGGGCGATGAGCGCCCACGTGAGCACCTCTGTGAAGCCCGCCTGGGCCACCTCGCCCCTCAGCAGGTCGCACAGCTGGTTCAGCGGCTGCTGCTTGCCCTCACAGACGGTCTTGGGCTCGGTGCGAGCAATGTTGTTGTAACCGTGTGCGATTGCCACGTCCTGTTGTGCGTGTGTGTGTGTGTGTGTGTGTGTGTGTGTGTGTGTGTGTGTGTGTGAGTGTGTGTGTGTGTTGGGGAGGGAGAGGAACACAAGGGAATGAGGCAACAGTGCGATGAGCGCCCACGTGAGCACCTCTGTGAAGCCCGCCTGCGCCACCTCGCCCCTCAGCAGGTCGCATAGCTGGTTGAGAGGCTGCTGCTTGCCCTCGCAGACTGTCTTGGGCTCGGTGCGAGCAATGTTGTTGTAACCGTGTGCAATGGCCACGTCCTGGGATTGAGATTATAAGGGGCAGGGGGGGGAGGGGTGGAGAGGGGGGAACAGGGATTGAGAGGGGACCAGCTGGTTCAGGGGCTGCTGCTTGCCCTCACAGACCGCCTTGGGCTCGGTGCGGGCGATGTTGTTGTAGCCATGTGCAATGGCCACGTCCTGTGGGGAGGGGAACAGAAGAGAATGAAGGAAGTTGGGGAGAAGGTGATTTAGAGGCTGCTGATTTAGAGACAAAGCCACGAAAGGAGGAAAGGAGCAAAAGGAAAAGAGAGAAAGGGAAAGAGGGGCACAAGTTAACGTTCACACATACACCCCTATTCCACCTTCAGGGATCACACTTGATTCAATTAGTGGTATCAGAAATATCATTTTAATCACCTCCATGATGTCACAGGGGTGGAGCACGTCGCTGCGAGTGGGCGGCACTGTCACGCTCACCACCTCCGCCCCGTCCTCCCCTCTCCGCCCCTCCACCACCTTGGATGGCAGCTGCATGCGCGTCAGCAGGCGGGCAATCTGGAAGGATGAAAAGGGCGAAACGAGGGCAACAAAGGGCAAGGCAGCAAGGAGAGTGCATGTTGGGAGGTTGAGTGTGGCTGTCTGTCCTCCCCTCTCCGCCCCTCCACCACCATTGATGGCAGCTGCAAGCGAGTCAGCAGACGGGCGATCTGAAAGGGATAAAACGGATAGAATGGGCAAGGGAGAAAGGAGTCCATATCGGGAGTATGAGTGTGTGATGTGTGTCCCCTCACATGTGAAAACCCACACACCCACATTCAACCACAATCACAGTCTCCCCCCTCACTCTCTCTCTCACCTCCTCCGCCTTGAGATCAACGCCAATGGACTTGCTAATGTACCCCACTGATGTCTCCACACTCCTCTCCTCCACCTGAGGGTACACCGTAATCTGCCCCTCACATGTGTGTGCAAACCCAACCACCCACAATCAACCACATTCAACCACATTCAACCTGGAGCCTCACCTCCTCTGCTTGAAGGTCAACGCCAATGGACTTGTTGATGTACCCCACCGATGTCTCCACATCCCTCTCCTCCATCTGAGGGTACACCGCCACCTGCCCCTCCGTAGATACCACCTCCACCGGTTCCACCTCGAACCTGAAATGGAAGCCACAGTGCAATGATTGAAATGAGGCTCGGAGAATGATAGGATTGCTCCTTGAATTCGCCCCTCGGTAGATACCGCCTCCACCGGTTCCACCTCGAACCTGAAAAGAAAATCCACAGTGCAGTGAAATGAAGTTGTGTGGGAACATTAACAAGGGGGTTCTTTCAACTCGCCCCTCCACAGATACCACCTCCACCAGTTCCTCCTCGACCCTGAAGTGGAAATAAAACAATGTGGTAGAATAAACCAAGAGGGGCTAACAATAAATGGTAACGACGGCGTCGACCACGATGTTGGCCTTGTTGACTTTTGAGTCGACTCAAAAGTCAAATGGTAACAACGGGGTCGAGCACGATCTCGGCCTTTGTGTGGCCAGTGGCACTTTTCAAGCATTGCACAGTACAATACAGCTTCCACTAGCAACTTTCGAGGCGACTCAAAATGCGGATCTCGGTCTTGTGTGGCCAGTGGCTGTTTTCATTGCACAGTACAGTACAGCTTCCACTAAAGCCTCTCCGCTCCACTTATTGCTCCACTCATTGGTGTCGCAGATCTCTGAGAACATGGTAACGACGGTGTTGAGCACGATCTTGGCCTTGGTGAGGTCAGTGGCCTGCCTCGTGTACCGGCGCTACCCTACATAGTTCCCTGTCGATTTCCCTGCACCTTACCAGAGAGCATCCACAGCTCACACACTCACTTGTTGTCACAGAACTCTGAGAACATGGTGACGACAGTGTTGAGCACGATCTTGGCCTTGGTGCGACCAGTCAGTGGCCCTTCTCATGCATGGTACCCTACCGCATCCCCTACAGCTGTCCCTACCGCATCTACAAGGCAAGATACACACTCACTTGTTGTCACAGAACTCTGAGAACATGGTGACAACGGTGTTGAGCACGATCTTGGCCTTGGTGAGGTCAGTGGCGGTGCATTCGATGAACACGTTGCGTGTGGACAGCTTGATGGCTGAATGTGAGCCGTTGATCACTGGAGGGAGCGACAGCACAGTCCTGAAAGGAGTGGGAGAGAGAGACAGAACGGAGATGGGTGAAAATGGCGGTGCATTCGATGAACACGTCGCGGGTGGACAGCTTGATGGCTGAATGTGAGCCGTTGATCATCGGAGGGAGAGACAGCACGGTTCTGCGGCGGAGGGGGGAGAGGATGGGCGGGAAGAAGAGAGCACTTCGCACATAGCACGAGAAATAACATGAGAATATTACAAGACATCCTCGCTATAAGGCTACACACACACCTGTTGGCATCGTAAATGACGGGGAAGACAGGCGAGTCGCTGATAATGTGGAGGAACTTCTTAAGCTTGTTGTCAGACTGGCAATAACGAGGATATGAAGGGGGGAACGCAGTGTGGTTGTGACATGGGAGAAGGGAGGAGGCACAGAGGGGGAATGGCATGATGTGGAGGAACTTCAAGTTTTGAGTCGACTCAAAACTAGAGGGGGAATGGCATGATGTGGAGGAACTTCAAGTTTTGAGTCGACTCAAAACTAGAGGGGGAATGGCATGATGTGGAGGAACTTCAAGTTTTGAGTCGACTCAAAACTAGAGGGGGAATGGCATGATGTGGAGGAACTTCAAGTTTTGAGTCGACTCAAAACTAGAGGGGGAATGGCATGATGTGGAGGAACTTCAAGTTTTGAGTCGACTCAAAACTAGAGGGGGAATGGCATGATGTGGAGGAACTTCAAGTTTTGAGTCGACTCAAAACTAGAGGGGGAATGGCATGATGTGGAGGAACTTCAAGTTTTGAGTCGACTCAAAACTAGAGGGGGAATGGCATGATGTGGAGGAACTTCAAGTTTTGAGTCGACTCAAAACTAGAGGGGGAATGGCATGATGTGGAGGAACTTCAAGTTTTGAGTCGACTCAAAACTAGAGGGGGAATGGCATGATGTGGAGGAACTTCAAGTTTTGAGTCGACTCAAAACTAGAGGGGGAATGGCATGATGTGGAGGAACTTCAAGTTTTGAGTCGACTCAAAACTAGAGGGGGAATGGCATGATGTGGAGGAACTTCAAGTTTTGAGTCGACTCAAAACTAGAGGGGGAATGGCATGATGTGGAGGAACTTCAAGTTTTGAGTCGACTCAAAACTAGAGGGGGAATGGCATGATGTGGAGGAACTTCAAGTTTTGAGTCGACTCAAAACTAGAGGGGGAATGGCATGATGTGGAGGAACTTCAAGTTTTGAGTCGACTCAAAACTAGAGGGGGAATGGCATGATGTGGAGGAACTTCAAGTTTTGAGTCGACTCAAAACTAGAGGGGGAATGGCATGATGTGGAGGAACTTCAAGTTTTGAGTCGACTCAAAACTAGAGGGGGAATGGCATGATGTGGAGGAACTTCAAGTTTTGAGTCGACTCAAAACTAGAGGGGGAATGGCATGATGTGGAGGAACTTCAAGTTTTGAGTCGACTCAAAACTAGAGGGGGAATGGCATGATGTGGAGGAACTTCAAGTTTTGAGTCGACTCAAAACTAGAGGGGGAATGGCATGATGTGGAGGAACTTCAAGTTTTGAGTCGACTCAAAACTAGAGGGGGAATGGCATGATGTGGAGGAACTTCAAGTTTTGAGTCGACTCAAAACTAGAGGGGGAATGGCATGATGTGGAGGAACTTCAAGTTTTGAGTCGACTCAAAACTAGAGGGGGAATGGCATGATGTGGAGGAACTTCAAGTTTTGAGTCGACTCAAAACTAGAGGGGGAATGGCATGATGTGGAGGAACTTCAAGTTTTGAGTCGACTCAAAACTAGAGGGGGAATGGCATGATGTGGAGGAACTTCAAGTTTTGAGTCGACTCAAAACTAGAGGGGGAATGGCATGATGTGGAGGAACTTCAAGTTTTGAGTCGACTCAAAACTAGAGGGGGAATGGCATGATGTGGAGGAACTTCAAGTTTTGAGTCGACTCAAAACTAGAGGGGGAATGGCATGATGTGGAGGAACTTCAAGTTTTGAGTCGACTCAAAACTAGAGGGGGAATGGCATGATGTGGAGGAACTTCAAGTTTTGAGTCGACTCAAAACTAGAGGGGGAATGGCATGATGTGGAGGAACTTCAAGTTTTGAGTCGACTCAAAACTAGAGGGGGAATGGCATGATGTGGAGGAACTTCAAGTTTTGAGTCGACTCAAAACTAGAGGGGGAATGGCATGATGTGGAGGAACTTCAAGTTTTGAGTCGACTCAAAACTAGAGGGGGAATGGCATGATGTGGAGGAACTTCAAGTTTTGAGTCGACTCAAAACTAGAGGGGGAATGGCATGATGTGGAGGAACTTCAAGTTTTGAGTCGACTCAAAACTAGAGGGGGAATGGCATGATGTGGAGGAACTTCAAGTTTTGAGTCGACTCAAAACTAGAGGGGGAATGGCATGATGTGGAGGAACTTCAAGTTTTGAGTCGACTCAAAACTAGAGGGGGAATGGCATGATGTGGAGGAACTTCAAGTTTTGAGTCGACTCAAAACTAGAGGGGGAATGGCATGATGTGGAGGAACTTCAAGTTTTGAGTCGACTCAAAACTAGAGGGGGAATGGCATGATGTGGAGGAACTTCAAGTTTTGAGTCGACTCAAAACTAGAGGGGGAATGGCATGATGTGGAGGAACTTCAAGTTTTGAGTCGACTCAAAACTAGAGGGGGAATGGCATGATGTGGAGGAACTTCAAGTTTTGAGTCGACTCAAAACTAGAGGGGGAATGGCATGATGTGGAGGAACTTCAAGTTTTGAGTCGACTCAAAACTAGAGGGGGAATGGCATGATGTGGAGGAACTTCAAGTTTTGAGTCGACTCAAAACTAGAGGGGGAATGGCATGATGTGGAGGAACTTCAAGTTTTGAGTCGACTCAAAACTAGAGGGGGAATGGCATGATGTGGAGGAACTTCAAGTTTTGAGTCGACTCAAAACTAGAGGGGGAATGGCATGATGTGGAGGAACTTCAAGTTTTGAGTCGACTCAAAACTAGAGGGGGAATGGCATGATGTGGAGGAACTTCAAGTTTTGAGTCGACTCAAAACTAGAGGGGGAATGGCATGATGTGGAGGAACTTCAAGTTTTGAGTCGACTCAAAACTAGAGGGGGAATGGCATGATGTGGAGGAACTTCAAGTTTTGAGTCGACTCAAAACTAGAGGGGGAATGGCATGATGTGGAGGAACTTCAAGTTTTGAGTCGACTCAAAACTAGAGGGGGAATGGCATGATGTGGAGGAACTTCAAGTTTTGAGTCGACTCAAAACTAGAGGGGGAATGGCATGATGTGGAGGAACTTCAAGTTTTGAGTCGACTCAAAACTAGAGGGGGAATGGCATGATGTGGAGGAACTTCAAGTTTTGAGTCGACTCAAAACTAGAGGGGGAATGGCATGATGTGGAGGAACTTCAAGTTTTGAGTCGACTCAAAACTAGAGGGGGAATGGCATGATGTGGAGGAACTTCAAGTTTTGAGTCGACTCAAAACTAGAGGGGGAATGGCATGATGTGGAGGAACTTCAAGTTTTGAGTCGACTCAAAACTAGAGGGGGAATGGCATGATGTGGAGGAACTTCAAGTTTTGAGTCGACTCAAAACTAGAGGGGGAATGGCATGATGTGGAGGAACTTCAAGTTTTGAGTCGACTCAAAACTAGAGGGGGAATGGCATGATGTGGAGGAACTTCAAGTTTTGAGTCGACTCAAAACTAGAGGGGGAATGGCATGATGTGGAGGAACTTCAAGTTTTGAGTCGACTCAAAACTAGAGGGGGAATGGCATGATGTGGAGGAACTTCAAGTTTTGAGTCGACTCAAAACTAGAGGGGGAATGGCATGATGTGGAGGAACTTCAAGTTTTGAGTCGACTCAAAACTAGAGGGGGAATGGCATGATGTGGAGGAACTTCAAGTTTTGAGTCGACTCAAAACTAGAGGGGGAATGGCATGATGTGGAGGAACTTCAAGTTTTGAGTCGACTCAAAACTAGAGGGGGAATGGCATGATGTGGAGGAACTTCAAGTTTTGAGTCGACTCAAAACTAGAGGGGGAATGGCATGATGTGGAGGAACTTCAAGTTTTGAGTCGACTCAAAACTAGAGGGGGAATGGCATGATGTGGAGGAACTTCAAGTTTTGAGTCGACTCAAAACTAGAGGGGGAATGGCATGATGTGGAGGAACTTCAAGTTTTGAGTCGACTCAAAACTAGAGGGGGAATGGCATGATGTGGAGGAACTTCAAGTTTTGAGTCGACTCAAAACTAGAGGGGGAATGGCATGATGTGGAGGAACTTCAAGTTTTGAGTCGACTCAAAACTAGAGGGGGAATGGCATGATGTGGAGGAACTTCAAGTTTTGAGTCGACTCAAAACTAGAGGGGGAATGGCATGATGTGGAGGAACTTCAAGTTTTGAGTCGACTCAAAACTAGAGGGGGAATGGCATGATGTGGAGGAACTTCAAGTTTTGAGTCGACTCAAAACTAGAGGGGGAATGGCATGATGTGGAGGAACTTCAAGTTTTGAGTCGACTCAAAACTAGAGGGGGAATGGCATGATGTGGAGGAACTTCAAGTTTTGAGTCGACTCAAAACTAGAGGGGGAATGGCATGATGTGGAGGAACTTCAAGTTTTGAGTCGACTCAAAACTAGAGGGGGAATGGCATGATGTGGAGGAACTTCAAGTTTTGAGTCGACTCAAAACTAGAGGGGGAATGGCATGATGTGGAGGAACTTCAAGTTTTGAGTCGACTCAAAACTAGAGGGGGAATGGCATGATGTGGAGGAACTTCAAGTTTTGAGTCGACTCAAAACTAGAGGGGGAATGGCATGATGTGGAGGAACTTCAAGTTTTGAGTCGACTCAAAACTAGAGGGGGAATGGCATGATGTGGAGGAACTTCAAGTTTTGAGTCGACTCAAAACTAGAGGGGGAATGGCATGATGTGGAGGAACTTCAAGTTTTGAGTCGACTCAAAACTAGAGGGGGAATGGCATGATGTGGAGGAACTTCAAGTTTTGAGTCGACTCAAAACTAGAGGGGGAATGGCATGATGTGGAGGAACTTCAAGTTTTGAGTCGACTCAAAACTAGAGGGGGAATGGCATGATGTGGAGGAACTTCAAGTTTTGAGTCGACTCAAAACTAGAGGGGGAATGGCATGATGTGGAGGAACTTCAAGTTTTGAGTCGACTCAAAACTAGAGGGGGAATGGCATGATGTGGAGGAACTTCAAGTTTTGAGTCGACTCAAAACTAGAGGGGGAATGGCATGATGTGGAGGAACTTCAAGTTTTGAGTCGACTCAAAACTAGAGGGGGAATGGCATGATGTGGAGGAACTTCATGTGGAGGTCACCTCATATCCTACTGACAGCTTCATCAGCTTTTTGTCAGTAGGATGAGGTGAGGGCACTGACACCTCCCATCTTTAGGAGGAAGGTGTGAAAGATGGGAGGGAGGAGCAGGGGGCCAAGTTGATGTTTGAGTCGACTCAAAAGTCAAACTCGGAGGGAGGACGCACGGGGGCACGATGCGGGAGGAAGGAACATCTTTAGCTTGCTGCTGTCGGACGGCAATGACGAGCATGTGATGTCCAGGGGGAAAGGGGTTTCTCCCTGGCTGGGCTAATAACGCGTATGGCAATGGCAATGAGCTGTGCAATTTTCATGCATCAAGTTACCTTGTAGAACTCCATCAGCTCAGCAGCATTGAATTCCTTGGTCTGAAGTCAGAGGGAAGAGCAAGTGGAAAAATAGAAATCAGTACAGAAATAGAGGAAAAGAAAAGGGGGTGGGGGGGGTGGGGTGGAGAGAAGGGGGGGGCAAAGGAAGCTCAGCCAGGAGATGGCAAGCGAAACACAGCAGCGAGTAAGAAGAAAGTAAGGATAGTGGTGTAGTGTCAGAACCGCTTTCTATTTCACCCAATCCAGGTGGTGGGGTGGTGCAACGATGGTCGTATAGTGTCACTGACTAGTCACGTATGAAGCAGAAGCTAGAGTGGTGGGGTGGATGGTGAAATGGGTGGGGCAGGGTGCAGGGGGGTTCGGATGGAGGTTGTCACCTGCTTGAGAGGCACAAACTTGATCTCCGTGGGAGGTAACGCCTACGGGCATGGGAGGCAAGGAACAAAGGCGGTGACACAATGATGAAACGAGGATGAAAAACGCGGAACAAAGGTGGTGACAAAAACACGGAAGAAAGGCGGTGACCAAGGAGAAAGGAGTGTATTGAGAAGATTGGCTCGAGGTGGGTGGGGTGGGGGGAGGGAAGAGTGAGGGAGGGGCCGTGGAGAGGAGAGGGAGGCGACTTGGTGGATTGGAAGAAAGCGGGGAGAACACAGTGTGCCTGAACACAGTGAACAAGACCAAGTGGAAGATTGACTGATGAGCACAGTGTACCTATTACCACAAGTGTGCCTAAACTCTAACCCACACCATACCTGCCTGCCCTAGCCCACACCAAACCTGCCTGCCTTAACCCATATCTGCCCTAATCCACCCACCTCATAAGTGAAGGGCGGTGTGAGTGTGTCTAGGTCGTGTGTCCCGATCGCCACAAGCGTGCGGCGACTGTTGCGGGAAGGTGAGAGGGGGGGATGAGGGTGGGGAATGGAGAGATCGAGTGGATTGGTGGGTTTGTGGTTGGGTTGAAATGGATGGGTATGCGTTGGGTATGGGGTGAGCATTGGGTGGGTATGGTGGGGTTTGTGGAGGTTGAGGGAGGGACAGCATAGCAGCAGGGCATCTCCCCATCACAGGTTCTGGTGCAGACTGTCTTGTAGGTTAGGGAGGGAGGTCTGCAACCTGACGTTTTTGTAGTGATACGACAGCTGCAGGCGATACTGGGTAACATAACACTACATACTGACAGAGTACGGCTTCTCACTGGCACAGGTTCTGGTGCAGCCTGTCCTGCAGGTCGATGAAGCTGTTGTAGCGGTGCTGGTGAAACGTGAGAGTAACAATACAGGCAGACAAATGTTACTCGCAGCGTAAGGCATCTCACCGGCACAGGTTCTGGTGCAGCCTGTCTTGCAGGTCGATGAAGCTGTTGTAGCGGTGCTGGTCGAACGTGATGTTGCGCAGCACTGCCCCCACCACGAAGGGACGGATCAGGGCCGTCTGTGTGAGTTTATCACGGGAATGGCAGGGCGCACGGGGAACAGGAGACGAAAGAGAAGGGGGCGGCAAGCAAGCATGACACTGTTGTAGCGGTGCTGGTCGAACGTGACGTTGCGCAGCACAGCCTCCACCACGAAGGGACGGATCAGGGCCGTCTGTGTGGAACCGCATGGAGGGCAAGAGGCAACGAGGGTCAAGGGGAAGAGAGGGATGGGAGAAAGCACGCATGAAGCTGTTGTAGCGGTGCTGGCCGAACGTGATGTTGTGCAGGTCATAGCAAAGCGGCTGCTGTGCAGCTCGTGTGCTTAAAGAAAGGTTTTTTTCAAGTGCGGGCACACGAGCTGACATTCCTCGGGCTTGAGTGTGAGTTGTCACATAACTTAAGATTTTCTTCGAATGCGTGCGAGCACACGAGCCCACATGCCTCAGGCTTCACAGTCATGCAGATGGGGCTAGCAGCAGGAGCAAGCTTGAACTGCGGAACAGAGTCCATGCCGAGGAAAATGCGCAGCGAGCGGGCCAGCCCCTCCAGGCACAGCAGGTTGTATCGGTACTGGCTGAGAGAGGGCTCAACAGTGGCCTACTCTAAATAACTCACCTCGGGCTTGACGGTCATCTGAATGGGTGGGCTGGAAGGCTGGGCGAGCTTGAACTGGGGCACAGGGTCCATGCCCAGGAAGATGCGCAGCGAGCGGGCCAGCCCCTCCAGGCACAGCAGGTCATAGCGGTTGGCAGGCACCTCGATCTTGTAGATCACCTCCTCGTCCTCCGCTGGACCCTCGTCCGTTAGGTGCTTCTCCTTGCGGATGATCGCCTTTTCTGTGGTCTGTAGGCGGGAAAGGGAGGGCATGAGTATAAGGGATGAGGGGGGCAGGGGGGGGGGTTAAGGAAACAGGACAGCAGCCCCTGCAGTCAGCCCCTCCAGGCACAGCAGGTCGTAGCGGTTGGCAGGCACCTCGATATTGTAAATCACCTCCTCGTCCTCCGAGGGACCCTTGTCTGTAAGACGCTTCTCCTTGCGGATTATTGCCTTCTCTGTGGTCTGGACGCGGAAATGGGAGGGGGTTGAGGGAAGTAGCGGTTGGCAGGCAGATGACCACCTGCTCCTCCGCGGGTCCCTCATCCGTCAGATGCTTCTCCTTGCGAGTTGACTTTTGAGTCGACTCAAAGTCAACCTGCTCCTCCGCGGGTCCCTCATCCGTCAGATGCTTCTCCTTGCGAGTTGACTTTTGAGTCGACTCAAAAGTCAACCTGCTCCTCCGCGGGTCCCTCATCCGTCAGATGCTTCTCCTTGCGAGTTGACTTTTGAGTCGACTCAAAAGTCAACCTGCTCCTCCGTGGGTCCCTCATCCGTCAGATGCTTCTCCTTGCGGATGATCGCCTTCTCTGTGGTCTGTAGGAGGGCACGAAAAGGGTGTTGAGGGAACGGAGAGGCTATGAGGGTAATGGGGAGAGGCCGGCCCCTGGAATGGAAGGCAGCTAGAGCAGGTCGTAGCATCTGACGGATGAGGGCACCTCCTCGTCCTCCGAGGGACCCTCATCCGTCAGATGCTTCTCCTTGCGGATGATCGCCTTTCCTGGAGGAAAGGAATGGGAGGGCGTGAGGGTAAGAGAGCGAGCCAGCCCTTCCAGGTACAGCAGGTCGTAGAGGTTGGCGGGCAACTCGATGCTTATGTTTTGAGTCGACTCAAAACATGGTTGGCGGGCAACTCGATGCTTATCCTTTCGAGGAAGTGCCAGACAGAATCACCACATCACGTCATCACCCACTGACTGAATCACCGAGGTCTTTTCGAAGACCCATCACACTCACCACATCATCAAGCTCTGTTATCATCATTAAACAAAATGGCTGGATACATCTCCCAACTCTCCTTACAGTCACACTCACCACATTATCAAGCTCGATGCCGAACTCGAAACAGAGCTCTCTCTACAGTCACATCACAGCATCACACTCACCACGTCATCAAGCTCAATGCCGAACTCGAAGCAGAGCTCATCGAATTCCTCCTCCGCTGAACGATCATACCGACAGACAGACAGACAGACAGACAGACAGACAGACAGACAGACACACGGGAATGAGAGGGGGAGAGCAGGGATCAGGCAATGTGGGGAATGTGGGAAGAGAAAGCTCGATGCCGCACTCGAAGCAGAGCTCATCAAATTCCTCCTCCGCTGAACGATCATACCAACAGACGCACAGATGTAGCGGAGAGGAGAGATCAGGCAATGCGAGGAAGAAAAAGGAATGTGACGCAGAGCGGAGGCGAGGAGTGTCAGACGAATCAGCAACCACCCGAAACGGGATTCATAACCAACTGACAGAATCAACAACCACCTGACAGGATCAGTAACCACCTGACTGGATCAGTAACCACCTGACAGGATCAGCAACCGCCTGACAGAAGCAGACCCAATGACGCACTAGAAAATACTAGCACTGCACCAAATCCAGCGAACGAAATCTATCTGTTACACAGAATTCAGTAAACGAAGTCTGTCTGCTGGAAAACGAACGGCGAAAGCTCATGGAGGAGGGAAGCTTCGTGATAAACGAGGGAAACTGCGCACTAGCTCCATAACTTCATCGTACGAAAACTCACGGAGGGAAAATGATGCTGCTGAAACGAAAATCCTGGAGGGGGAGGTGTCCGTACTCCCGATGTAGGGTTCTTCGCTAACTTGACACGATTCCGAACCATGACTCGCGAAGGGCTACGACTATTTAGACACGCGATATATTCCCCGCTGAAGCACACTTCATCATATTCTAAACACCAGCGACGGAGACCGTGTAACGACGCACACTAGATATCCGACTCACACGAGATTCACACTAATACGTAACTACTAGGGCGCCGTAAACGGTTAGTCACCTTACATTGGTAGTTTAACGACTCACTGTAAGTTTTGCCGAGCGCGGCGAAGAGCCGATCGCGACCCACGCTAACGGTCGGCATTCTCTCAGTGGAGGTAAGATCAGAGCGGGATTTCGAGGCTCTTCAAACGGACACGAGACGAATCGCAGGAAAGAATAAGAGAATTGGCTTTTGGCGAGCGGCGAAGGACGCGGCGCGCCGCAGAAACCACCGCAACTTCAGGAGGTGATGAGGGTGGAGATTAAAAGCCTCGCATAGGAGGCAGAAGAAAAGAGCTGATCAGAAAGGCTTTGGGTAATACCAAGGCGCGAGACAATATCGAGGTGCAGGTCTCTTCTCAGTTGGAGGACATTATTCATGTAATCGTGAAAAAAAAACTACACGATTCACTTTTCAGGTAAACCTACACTCTTCATCATACCGCACCGTCAAGTTCAGGAAATAAAAATTCTGACAATACATAATGCTAAATATACTAGCATAATAACATAACCTATTTTATAGGTGCATAAATTTGCATAAAATTAACGACGAGCCAGCATTACACCTATCAATATTGCACCTCACTTCTCAAATCTTGGAGCAATTTGCCAGTGCCATAGGCACTGACAGCGTGCAAGCTTTTCCCCCCAACCCCAATGCAACCCCATTCCACCTTCTTGTATCCCGTTGAACCCTAGAGTGCACCTGATTGGCACTCTAGCCTCCTCTTTTCCTCCATGCGGTGCTTGCTACACCCAATTCCTCTTATTACTCCATCGTTATCTCTGAATCTGTCCTCCAGTCCCATTCATCCCCTCCCCCCATTCTCGTACCTGCCCTTCAACCTCTCCCTCATCATGCTCCCGGTTACCCACTCCCCCCCTCTCACCACCACCAGCATCATTGCCAGCAGCAGCACCAGCAGCATCACCAGCTGCAACAGTAGCACCCTCTCTTTCCATAAGCCCAAGCCCCACCCCTTGCCCAGCCGCCCCTGCTGCTACTAATAACCCCTCAGCAGCCCCACCAGAATCTGTTTCCCTCAATCCCTCTGCTCCTCCCACAACCTCTGACCTTCTCCCACCTCCTGTTTCCTGCTCTGTGCCTAACCCTCTGCCTACTCCACCTACCCCCGAACCTGCCCCCGAACCTGCCTCTGAACCTGCAGCCAAACCTGCTGAACAACCCTCTCCGATTGCTCCTTCCCTTCCCACACCCCCTGTTTCTCCCCCACCATCCCCACCGCCACTGCTGTCACCACCCTTACCACTACCATCGCTGCCACCACTGCTGCTAGCGCTGCCAGTGAGCCGGGGAGGGGCTTCAGCAGGGCGAGCAGGCACAGGAGAAAGAGAAGAACGCAGCGGGAGGTGCAGCGGGGGCGTGAGAGGCCGGGCCGTATAACCTCCCCTCGCCCCTGCTGCCCTCCCTGCTTCAACACCACTCCCTCCACTCCCTCCCCCTCCATCAGCCCCTACAGAAGCTCCTCTAAAGAAGGAACCCATCGGCGACCTAAGAGGGGACCTTCGGCTGCTGCTGTTGTTGCTGGTGTTGCTGTCTCTCGTTCCCACAAGATCAGCCCCTGTAGCAGCAGCGATACCCCTCAAGGGTGATAGCCTAGGCGAGCCCATGGGTGATCTCATGGGTGATCTGCTGCTGCTGCTGGTACGATGAGCATGTGAAGGACCAGCAGTGCCAGCAGCAGCAGCAGCAGCAGCAGCAGCAGCAGCAGCAGCAGCAGCAGCAGCAGCAGCAGCAGCAGCAGTACTGGAACCAGCCGCAGTAGCTGAAACGCTACCTGAGGGAGTGACGTACGTCCAACCGCTGTTGGCCCTGATCGAGCCAGCATTGCTGCTGCTCCCACCCCCACCACCGCCTCGACCAAACCCCCCAGCACCACCACCAGCAACAGCAGCAGCGGCAGCTGCAGCAGCAGCCGTGCGAGCACTGGTGCTACCAGTGACAGCAGCACTGGCATTGGCGTCGTTGTTGTCGTGAGTCCTGCTTGACCCGATATTATAGGGGTTATTGCGGTTGTTACCCACTGCACGTGGACTTCCCGAACCTGCCAGCTCAGCCAGATCCGAGCCCTCCATACCCGTACCTACGGCCATTCCCGGACCTGCAGTTCCCGTACATGAACCTCCTTCCGTTCCCGAACCTCCACGAGGTGAGGAAGGAGAGGGCTGCCCCAAAAACCTTCTGAGCGTGCCTGTAACGAATGAGGCAAATCTCTGTGCCCCTCTTGGCCCTGCTCCTGCTCTACCTCCTGCTGCTGCCGCAGCCGCTGCTAAACACGCGTCAGCATCACCAGCACCAGAGGCAGCACCAGCAGCACCAGCAGCAGCAGCACCACCACCAGCACGTCTGGCATCTCCTGCTGACGCCAATCTAAGCAGACCAGCCCGCAAGGGAGACACATTCCTCACACCACCACCACCAATGCCATCACCATCACCACCACCGCCCTCCCCATTACCAGCGACACCAAGGGCAGCAGCACCGTTCCCCCCAGCTTCTCCCCCCATCCTTCTCCCTTGCACACGGTTCTGGGTCTGATGGTGATGGTGGTGATGCTCATGCTGATGATCGTGATGGTGCTCCTGCTGCTGCTGCTGCTGGTGATGATCTAGCCCCCTTCCTTCTCCTCCTCCTGCTCCTCCTGCTGCTCCTGCTGCCCCCCATCCTCCCCCACCCATTCCCAGCAGCCCTATTCTCTCTCCAAGATTCCGAAGCTGGAACCCATCACCCAGCAACCCACCCAAACCACCCCCACCGCCACCTGCGCCCCCACCAGCACCGCCCCCATCTGCACCATCACCATCACCACCAGCAGCAGCAGCAGCACCACCACCACCAACAACAACAGCCCCTCCCTCTCCCCTTCCTCCACCCTCTCTCCTCCCCCCACCACCCTCCCTCCCTTCCCCTCTCTCCCCTCCTCTCCCCACCCCACCCCGACTCCTCTCCTGCGTAATCACCAACGTTGGCCTCTGCTCCTGCAGAACACTCAGCGAATGAGCCGAAACCGCCGGACACCGCCTCACCTTCAGCCGCTGCAGGCTCGGGCATCCGTTCGCGAGCGCATAAATCCCGAGGTCGGTAACCTTGTTACAGGCTTTCACGCAGAGGCGGCGGAGGTTGGAGCAGGAGTAGGCGAGGGTGGCGAGCTCAGGGTCTCCCATGTTGTGGCCTGAGCAGAGCGTGAGGCGCTCTAAGGACGGGCAGTTGGAAGCGAGGAGTTGGAGAGAGGAGACGGTGCAGGCATGGGACACCAGGAGCAGCTCCTGTGAGGGAGAGGTACAGACGGGGGGGGGGGAGAGGGGGACACATGGGATTTGAGCAGAGTGTGAGGCGCTCTAGGGAAGGGCAGTTGGAGGCGAGGAGCTGCAGGGAGGAGACGGTGCAGGCATGGGACACCAGGAGCAGCTCCTGTGAGGGAGAGGTACAGACGGGGGGGGGGGGGGGGGTGGAGAGGGGGACACATGGGATTTGAGCAGAGCGTGAGGCGTTCCAGAGACGGGCAGTTGGAGGCCAGTGGGAAGACAAGGGGAGTGGGAAGAACTCGGGGAAATGAGCCTTGTTGCTGAAAGCGTGTCCATTTCACGATTCTAGTTTCGGAGCCCATGGTGCTCATGGGCTGGTGCTCATGGGCTGGTGCTCACGGGCTGGTGCTCATGACCTAAGTTGCTAAATACACGCATGGCGTATCAGCCCCGTCTGTACGTGATACGCCGGATTCTCAGTTTTTTAAACGCTCGTAATACACTGTGTCAGGCAGGGGAAAAAAACCTTCGGGCAGATAACTCCCTTAGAGATTTCGCGATCACGAACTCTGAAATGTTAGAAATATCAATGGCTAAAATCGCCCTGAAATTGTGGCTGCAAAGATCTGGCAAGCGACGCGCCCTTACCCCACTGCTAGGAGTAGCACGTGCGACATTAGTGGTCGCCATAGCTGTTCGAAGCTAAAATACGAGAGAAATAAGATTCGAAATGTCTCCCCTTGCCTTTGTACGAACGCCGACGTGAAATCCCAAGCTGCTTGTGGTTGAAAAGAGAAGGGTTGGATTTGGGATGTGGTGTGAGGTGATGTGCGGTGGAGGGAGGGGGGGGGGGGGGGGGGGGGGTGGGTGAGGCATTCGACTTTCAAACCTCAAAATTAGGTTTCAGAGAATCGCAGATCGCAAGAACGGTGGCAATTTTTTAGTTTTTTTTTTCGACGGGCTGCCCATCCAAGTGCATCGCGTATTTGTCCCCGTATCACGTTTTTCCGTTTATACGTGAACGGATAAACGTGATACGCGACATTGCCTTAGCGTTTTTTCCAACATAGCTCATGACCACCACACCACCTCACTGACCCACCTGCAGTTGCCGGCAGTGCCTGGCGATAGCAGACAACCCCAGATGCCCCGGCGCCCACCTCTACTGTTGCTACAGCCGATTGCTACAAGCTGCTATGCGCAGCATTGACCCACCCACCTGCAGTTGCCGACAGTGCCTGGCGATCGCTGACAGCCCCGGGTCGCCCAGATGCCCCGGCGCCCACCCCTCCACATGCAGCCTCTTTAGCCCTTCTACCTCACACCTTCATTCTTGCCCCAGTTGCTACAGTCGACACACTGACCCACCCACCTGCAGCTGCCGGCAGTGCCTGGCGATTGCTGACAGCCCCGGGTCTCCCAGATGCCCCGGCGCCCACCCCTCCACGTGCAGCCTCTTCAGCCCGCTACAGCCGGCTGCTACAGCCGCCATGCCGGCATCGGTGCACTCGGGTGTGCGCACCACCACCAGGGCTTCCAACTTGGGGCATTTTCCAATACATTGCAGCCCCTTATCCGTTATCTGAACCCTTTCCACGTATATCTGTGCGGGGGCCAGGGAAGGGGACAGGCAGGCAACGGTGAGAGTTGCTACAGCCCGCTGCTACAGCCGCCATGCCTGCATCGGTGCACTACTAGGCCATGCACTGCAATCCCCCATCCGTTATCTGTACCCTCTCCACGTATACCTGATTGAAGGCAGGCGAGTGGGCATGAGGGAGGGAAGGAGGGACGGAGAGTTGCTACAGAAGGCTGCTACGGCCACCAGCGTCTAGAGATTGGGGTACTTTTGAGTCGACTCAGAAGGCTGATACAGCCACCAGCGTCTAGAGCTTGGGGTACTTGCCAAAGCACTGCGGATCCTTGCATGTTAGGCATTTCAAAGATCGCCTAGAAAGACAGTTATCACAGTTAGTAACCTGCACCCAGTGCCCCTAGCCCTGATACCACATAATTCACCTGAAGAAACACCTGAGAAAGCTCCGGAGTGAGATTGTCCTCCAGAGCGCTCCCGAGCATTTGAACACCTGAGATTACCTGATTGACCTGACAATACACCTGAGACTCACCTGAGACAGCTCTGGAGTGAGCTTCTCCCCCAGGGAACTCCCGAGCACCTGGTCCCAGTGCCCCGCATTCCTTGCCAAAATTAGGGTTTCTAGCCTCGATGTGGCCTGCAGCAGCAGAACAACGAGACAGAAGTAAGGAGCAGAGACTGAGAGAAATGCGCCACTCAGCAGCACAGCAGTTGATCCCAGTGCCCTATGTTGCGCGACAGGATTACAGTGTCCAGCAGCAGCAGCAGCAGCAGCAGCAACAGCAACACCCACATGTGTGACTGACTCTCGCCCAAGGGAGAGAACGCTCACCTGCAGCAGCGGCACCCAGATGTGCGACTGGCGCTGATCTTTGAGGCAGAGGCGCTTCAAAGTCCACCCTGAGCTTGCTTTGCTTCTCTTGACTGGTCTTGTGACCCCTTGTTCTCCCCCACTTTGCCTATGGGGGTGTGTCAAATTATATGTATGCTATATATGTTTAGGCTGTAGTGGGGTAGCCAATATGGGGTACAGCCCCTTTTAGGTTTTCATACTTGTACCCAACACTTTCCTAGTGCATTCATTCCTGCCTAGCATTTCTTCACACGTACGGTAAATAGTCATGTGAAAGCAAAAGCGGGCAGGGGAACACGCTCACCTGCAGCAGTGGCACCCAGATGTACGACTGGCGCTGATCTTTGAGACACAGGCGCTTCAAAGAGAGGTTGGCTGGGGGTGAGAGCGAGTCCGAGACGTGTGGGATTTGCGTGACGCGGTCTTTCGGCAATGACGGGTGGAGGCTGGGAGGGGGGGAGAGGGGGAAAGGGTGGAGGCAACGTGAGCATCCATACGAGCACAGGCGCTTCAAAGAGAGGTTGGCTGGGGGTGAGAGCGAGTCCGAGACGTGTGGGATTTGCGTGACACGGTCTTTCGGCAATGACGGGTGGAGGCTGGGAGGGGGTGGGGGGGGGGGGAGGGGGGAAAGGGGTGGAGGCAACGTGAGCATCCATACGAGCAGAGGCGCTTCAGAGAGAGGTTGGCCGGGGGTGAGAGCGAGTCCAACACGTGTGGGATTTGCGTGACGCGGTCTTTAGGCAATGAGGGATGGAGGCTGGGAGGCGGGAAGAGAAGGGGGGTTGGAGGGGGGGGGAGAGGGGAATGAGATGGGGGAATGTGCAAGGTGAGCAAGAGGTTGGCCGGGGGTGAGAGGGAATCAAACACATGCGGTATGGTCGTGACACCCAAACGCACATGCGGGAGGGCGTCCCTAGAGGATTTTGACTCTTCCTCCCAAACGCTCTGTGCATACCCACCTTCGTTTCACGGTTAAGTCCTCAAGATGGATGCAGCCGTTGAGCAGAGCGTTCAGTCCCCTCAGCCCGAACCCACACGCAAAGCTGAAATAACCAATGCCCTAGAGTGTCTTGACTCTTCTACACATATCCACAGTGCATACCTTCGTTTCACGGTCAAGTCCTCAAGATGGATGCAGCCGTTCAGCAGAGCGTTCAGTCCCCTCAGCCCCAACCTGCAGCTCCCACACGAGAGGCTGTCCCAAGGCCCGAACCTTTTGACTGTACCTTCTCTTCACGGTTAAGTCCTCAAGATGGATGCAGCCGTTCAGCAGAGCGTTGAGCCCTCTCAGCCCGAACCCGCAGCTCCCACACGAGAACTTCCGAAGCTCCGGACAGGCTCGGGCGAACCTCTCCATGCCATCGTCCGTGATCTGAAGGTGTTGAGAGGAACAGAGAGGGGTGCAGCGAAGGGTGAAAGGGGTGCAAAACGGGGCACGAGTTCAGTGGCGCGCTAATACGTTGCACAGGCCTGTCAGATTTCTCCACGCAAAAGCACCAGCCCAATCTCCCCCTACAGTCTCCTCAACCTCTCCCCATGTTCCCCACACGCACCTGTTGGCAGATCTTAAGTTTGAGTTCTCTCAGATACGCACTGCCGAGAGAACTCAGTGCGTTAAGATTGCACTGCCGAACAATCGTATCCAACTCTAGCGTGAGCGCATGTTGCGCTCGCACTGGAGCACCAGCTTCTGCCTTCCTCTTCCCAAATAATCCTACACTCCATCCCACATTCTCTCCCGATTCGCACCTGCCGGCAATTCTTCAGCTTCAGTTTTCGCAAGTAAACGCATTGCCGTGCGATGGTATCCAGGGATGCGTCATCGATGCTCAGTACGTTGCGCTCGCATTTCAGCACGAGCTTCTGCACGCCTGTGAACCGCGTGAACAGACTCGCGAGGTCCGGCGCGGCGTCTAGAGTCGCTCGCAGCGACATGCTTGGCCGCGTTTCAGCGTCTAACCTGTGAATGGGAACGGCGTTTGAGGAGAGAGGGATGAGGGGAGAGAGATGGGAGGGGCATTTGAGAACAAGCTTCTGCACGCCCGTGAACCGCGTGAAGAGACTCGCAAGGTCCAGCGCGGCTTCCAGCGTCGCTCGCAGCGACATGCTTGGCCTGGTCGCCGCGTCTAACCTGAGAATGGGAACGGCGTTGGAGGAGCAAGGGATGAGGGGAGAGGGAGGGAGGAGCATTTGAGCACCAGCTTCTGCACGCCCGTGAACCGCGTGAACAGACTCGCGAGGTCCGGCGCGGCTTCCAGCGTCGCTCGCAGCGACATGCTTGGCCTGGTCTCCGCGTCCAGCCTGCGAAAGAAACGGCCGGAACGAGAGACGAGGGAGGAGAGGGGGTGGGGAGACTCTGGCGTGGGCAAACTTCAGCGTTCCCACCACAACGTACACGAGCTAGCATCCCGCTAGACACGGCATCAGAAAAGCTAGACTATACTATCACGTACGCCGAGAATACGGAAGAAAAGGTTTGGATAGTTTCAGCCTCGAAGTATGCCGCGTAAGCTTCTAAAGTATGTGTACGAATCAATGGTTCGATGAGAGAGTAATCGACACCATTAAACATTGACACGCACATGGTTCGCGTGCGTATTTGAAGGCGTCTCAAGTCGCGGGCGCAAAAGGAACAGGAACGGCGCGAGGGACGCACACGGATGGCAAGCGTCATAATATGAAGAGTCTGAGATTATTTTTTGTGCTCTTGAAAATGACTCCAATCTCTTAACAGACGCTATGGTACGAGAAGCCTGATTCCCTTGCGTCAACGCATGAAGGAGGTAGGAAGGATTGAATTCACTTACATGAACCAGCGCCTGCACACTAAGGAGCATCTGGCAAGATCCGACGTTCCGAGCTTCCGAAACACGTTAACGAGGTAAACGAACAATAGCGGGGACGAAGGACCTGATATACTCACATGAACCATCGCCTGCACACTAGGGAGCATCTGGCAAGATCCGACGTTCCGAGTTTCCGGAACACGTGCACGAGGCAATCGTCGGGAAGGTTCGCGGTAAGATCCTCCGCCGACGTCGCGAGCTGCGGGCGACTGTGCAGGCGCTGCTGCGTCACCTCGTCGTCGCTCAGCGATCCGTCCATTTCGCCGGATGAATTCGACCTCGCGTCGTCGTCGTCCGCCGAGAACACGCGCGACGCGGTTGACGTCGACATGACTGAAACCGTCAGAAACTAACGACGACGGAACTGTAACGGTATGGTCGCGAAGAAAAAACGGAGCGCCGGAGGCTAAGCTAACGCTGTACACGGTAGCAAAATAGGATGCTGCGAGTGGAAGAAAAGGCTAACTTGGTACGTTCGGGTCGGACCTTCGCTAATGAAGGTAGCGGAAAGCCTAGCAACACCAAGCAAAACCAGCTAAAAACAACCAAACGAAGGTAACACGCTAATACTTAGAGCAGGTAGGACTGTAAACTAGAGTATCTATTGGTCATTGGAGCCATCGGACAATAAAAACGTTTGATTGCACCACCAAATTCAAAAGCAGGGGTGTCAAAACAAGGCCTAAACAAGACCGAGCTTCTGTATGCTGCATCTGCAATGCAAGACCATCCGTGAGGCAGAGGGAAAGCAGGGATGATGGTGGATGGATGAAGGCAAATGATGACATGGCGGAGGATTCGAGGTTGGTTGTCGGAGTGTAGTGGACTGGAGTGGAGAGGACGGGTCATGGGTGGAATGGGAGAGAGATGAGGAAAGGAAGTAAAGGAGGGAGAGGGGAGAGAGGAGGGAGAGGAGTGAGGGAGTTGAGGGAGGGGATGGAGAGGAGGGAGAGGAGGGAGAGGAGTGAGGGATGGGAGGGGAGGAACAAGGGGCACCTCGTGGACGGAAGGGCGGGGCAGGGAGGGGTATGGGGAATGCCGCAAGTATGGCGGAACTTCCGCGGATACCCACGGATATCCGCATACAGTTGGGTCTTGGAGAACACCAGAAACGGGGGATGGGGCGGGGTGGTGGAATGCCTGCGCTCCTGTCGCGGTCACGCGGAACTGTGTTTCACGTCAAAATGATAGCGGGGCCGCGGACACAGCGGAGGTGGGTTTAGTTCGCAGAGACAAGCCTTGCTTGACAAGGTCTGCTGAGTCTGATTGGCGAATAAATTCGTATTTCTGGTCATTTATTTCGTCGTGTTCGCATGTGTCGCTGACAGCACCATGTCAAATCGTGAATCAGTAAGGCGCATTCCTGGCTTCGTGTCAAGAACGGTTAGTGTCAACCTATAACCTTGGAACTCACTCGATTGGCCCAAAAATCACAACAGCCAATCAAGTGCGTTCCAAAATTATAGGTTGACGCTAACATTTAATTGACACGATGCCGAGAATACGCCCTAACATTTAATTTCCTCCGATGCCACCCCAACGAAACTATGTTGAGTGAACTACAGAAAGCGGTTGGCAGCACTACTGCACACGTCACTTCGGCCGTTGGACACGCTAGCTTGCACCCTCACATCACACAGTACAGTATCCTCTGTTGCGATTACAGCAGCTGCATCTGCTGGCATGTTGACTTGGGATACAGATACAAGGGAAAATATGCCACTCGTAATCAACAAGGGTCTCGATAATATATTTGGTGAAAAAATAACGGGGACGGTCACTGCAAAGGGTGTTTTCACGTGTTTGATAAAACGTTTCACGGAATCAGTCACAGTCAACTGGGAAAAAATAACGCGAATGGTCACAGATGAAACTCCCGCCCAAAAAAAGATAATACCCAAAACGAACCTGGATACATTTTCGGATGAATCAACCCTAAACACAACTCGCCAGGTGTTTAGGGTTGATCCGTTCCCAAACCACATCCGAGCCCGATTGGGTTTTAGTATTTTGAGAAATTAGCTGATTGATTGGGCGCGAGCGGGAATTTTGTAGAGTTTCAAGAAATTCTGGCGGGAGTTACATGTGTAACCATTCGCGTGATTTTTCACCTGTTGTTAGTGACTGAATCCGTGACCCCACTTACCAACCCCGTCAGCAAACCCAATACAGTGACCGTACGCGTTACTTTTTTACCATTCACGTTATCAAGTCCCACGTTGGCTACTTGTGACATATTTTCCCCATATATAACATCCAGTTACGCTGCAACATTCTGGTCATATAATCTACGGTACTAACTGTTATATATTAGAGCTAAAGGCCTGGACAATCACTTGGAACGCTTCAGAAACTCAATCTCCTTGGCAATGCGCCAAACCATCCACCTGAGTCGCTCCCTTGACTGCTCTTTTTCTCCACCATCGCTTCAATGTCACGATAACTTGGCCGATTTTCCACTGTCCCGATCGTCTCATATGTTGGGAAAGAGCTATCAGACCCACTACCGCTGTCATCAGACATGTAAACCTGGTGGACAAAGAGTGCAAAATCAGAAGTCGCAATACATGGAAGAAGGTGCCTGAAAGTAAAAAAACAAGCAAACAAACCAACAATAACAAAAACATCCAGCCAAACGATATTTATGCTCGCGTTTACCTGCCAATCGCCAGGGAAGCACTTGACGATAGTGACATCATATGAGCGAATGCGGTTGCGCTTCAGGCTGTAGGCAGTAAGGAAGGTGTCTAGAAACTCTTCTGCCTGTTTACGCTTGCTTCCGAATCCAAAATCTGAGACCACCTGCATGCAGGAATTTACAGTTCAGTGGAGGGAAAATCAGTGGTGGTGGTGAGAGAGTGCAAAGAACAGATTTCGCATCTACTCTCATGCACAAGTGTGGGCATAACTGCGTGCAGCTTCAGAAAACAGATGGAGTTCGCACTGAAGTTCATGAATTGTGTCTTCACATGCATGCACAAACAAGACAAACTAACCCACCAAACATATGGATGGACCTTGCAATGGAGAACAGGCATTGTGTCTTCACATGCATGCACAAGAGGACAGATCAACCCACCTGGCCCGGCTGCCACTGGGAATTCATGAGCAGCAGCGTGCGTTCAGGATCGCTTTTCAGGCGCCTCATAAAGGAAATTTGTGTATTCACATGCGTGCACAAAGGGGACAGAAAAACCCACCTGGCCGGGCTGCCACTGGGGGTTCATGAGCAACAGAGTCCGTCCCGGATCGCTACTGGCCAGCTCCATGACAGCTGGCAGGCGCTCGGCTGTTGGGAAGAGCACAAGTGCAACCTTCAGGTTACGGGTTGGGTTGAAGAGACACAAGTGACCCCGAAATGGATGGAGGGGGAAAGGATTGGGGGGGAAGGGGGAGGAAGGGGTCGTGGTGGTGGGGGGGAAAGATGGGATGGAGAGGAAAGAATGAAAGATCAAGAGAGGGGAGGAAGGGGTCGTGGTGGTGGGAGGGAAGATGGGTTGGAGATGAAAGAATGAAAGACCCAGGATGCAAACTGTAAAACCGGGTGAGGAGAAGGGGATGAGCAAATACGAGGGCTGCAACGAGAATGCGTCCAGCAGCATGCAAATAAGTTAGCCCTCGGGCACTTCACAGTGAACAACAGGCAACCAGCTTCTTTGTTCTGAGGCGCCAGGAAACACCTACCGTCTAGCTCGCCCACGCCTCCACTGCTTCATCCTTGTCTATCACATCAAATACCACCCCACACCACACTGCACCACACCACACCACCGCACTGGAAGCACTTACCATCTTGCTTTCCCACGCCACCATCGCTTCATCCTCATCTATCACCCGCCGCGTGTACACCTCTCCACCATCCACCAGCCTTTTCAGCAATCAACATTTGAGGCGCCTCCAAGGGCATCTATGTTCTTTGTTCCAAGGGCTTTTTTGGTCCAAGCATTTAGAAGTACCTACCGTTCTGCTCTCCCACGCCACCACTGCTTCATCCTCGTCTATCACATCAAATACCACCCCACACCACACTGCACCACACCACACCACCGCACTGGAAGTACCTACCGTCTTGCTCTCCCACGCCACCACCGCTTCATCCTCATCTATCACCCGCCGCATGTACAACTCTCCACCGTCCACCAGCCTTTTCAGCAATCAACATTTGAGGCGCCTCCAAGGGCATCTATGTTCTTTGTTCCAAGGGCATATTTGTTCTGAACATTTAGACGTACCTACCGTTCTGCTCTCCCACGCCACTACTGCTTCATCCTCATCTATCACATCAAATACCACCCCACATCACACCACACCACACTACACCACCGCACTGGAAGTACCTACCGTCTTGCTCTCCCACGCCACCACCCCTTCGTCCTCATCTATCACCCTCCGCGTGTACAGCTCCCCACCATCCACCAGCCCTGTCAGCAGCGATTCCACCAGCGGGATGGCCGCCTGCAGCTGCTGTTGAATGCCCCCCTGTGAGTTCATTAGGGAGAGATTTGGGCAAAAGCCATTATGGCAACAACAGATATGTGAAGCGTGAAGGCGACATTCCCAAGGCTGGAGACCGATGGTGACTTACAGGCCAGTAATGCGGGGGTTAAATTGATTAATGAGCGGCAAGAGCAGGTCCAGCATCTCAAAGGGTTTTTATAATATCTCGTAACACCCTGCACAAGTCTTGGAATTCTCAAGAACACTCTGGAATTTGAAAGTGACTTACAGGCCAGTCGTCCAGGAGTGAAGGGCCAATGAGCGGCAAGAGCAGGTCCAGCATTAGACGCTGATGGCCTGCTTCCCTCGCCCTTCTCACTGCTGCTCGAGCCTGAAAGGACAGATTCAAAAGATAAGCATGTTGCAGGTGATTTGAGGCGACTTGAAGCACACCTCCTCCCCTCGCCCTCCTCACTGCTTCTCTAGCCTGAAAGCCCTGATTGAAAAGATAAGCAAGTTGCAGGTGAATTACACCATTCATTTTTCAATGGTGCTAACGAGCAGCACAGCTGCTTTGGCAGCAGGTGAAGTTGCTGGTACAGAGATAAGCTGACTAGGATACTTGCAGTGAAACTGCGTAACCTGCTGACACTCTCAGCAACAGCTATTGCACCCCCTCCAAGAAAATAAACTACACTGAAGTTGACTCACCTGCTGAACGCTCTCATCAACGGAATCGGGAACGGAGACTCGCCGCGATGGACGAGGCACCTGCGAGGGTACACGTCAACACCGAGGCACAACATTCAGACGATTCAAAAACGGCTGATTACATTAATGAGACTTTTCGATACCTACCGGCAACATACTTCTATAGATAAGCGGCATTGCTGAACATGCAGACTGATGCGTTGTTGCTTGTCATGCGTACGAATCCCTTGCCTGTGGTGAGTCGTCGTCGGCTGAAGCAGCTGAGCCATCTGAGGAGGCAGCTCGACACGCGTCCAATAATAGCCGAGCGTTTGACCTCCTCGTAACTTGCCTATTCTCGAGAACCTCGCCGACAAATGCTGAACGTCCGAAACTACTAGCGAGGCGGGAAACGGATGCTCGTGATGCTTGTTGTCTTGAATTGCGGCATCGCAAAGCGTGCTGCGGTGCGGGATGGAGGGCTGGATTACCGCAGTGGAGCAAGGAATCCATCATGCTAGCAACAGGAGATTGTGAAACGTAATAGAACCGCAGCAGATAGGATGGAAATGCGAAGGTCGGCTGTGAATTTCATTGAAATACAAGAGGGAGGAGAAGGTGGTGGAAATTGGAATTCCAGTCACACAAGTGCTAGATTCGTGAACTAGAAGCCAACCTAGCCCAACCGTACATAAACCGACACGACCCATTCGACAATGATGCCAGATTGTTGGAAATGCCGAGCCAAGTGGAGGCCTCACAGCACGCTGGACGGCTGTAACAAAGTCGACGATACATGTACTCCCTCAATATACGAGCGTCAATCTTAAGGCGGTGTACTACAGGCTAATCAGCAGCAACTAACGCATCGGATCAACTCATTATCGGACCTGGCATTTCCTGCCTATGATTTGGCAAGAAATTAGCACGTGCAGAATCAGGCTCGGCAAAGCCCAAAGCTAAGTCGGACCTCCCACCTTACCGAACCAAGCCCCCCACAAGCTCCTCCTGGCCTTGAGAACTCCGTGTGTGCATGCCAGCTCTTCACAGAGCTTCAATTTCTCTGCTCCCTTCAAGCTCACATTCAGCTCCAAGAAATTTCTATATGTCACAACCTTGGTCTCGTGCAGACAGGACTGGAAAAACATCACCACCAGGCAAAACTGCATGTGAAGTGGTCTTTTCTTCTCAGGCTGTTCTTTCTTGGTGGTCCTGGGATTTTTTCGGAGATTCCGGTTCCGCGAATCACGTCTCCTGTCGCTCAGCCTTGAACAATGGCTTCACTTCTCCGTGTTCTTGGCAGCCGAGCGGGAGTTTCGCTGAGGGTTCGATCAGCTGCTCCCTACAGAGTGTTCTCAAACACCACTAATCCAGCGGCGTCGTCAGAGGAGGAGCAGCTTCCATTCGAGCAGGCTACAATCGCAGACCTTCTGAGGGCTCGAGGAGCCGGCAATGACGGCTCGTGGCTTTGGTGCACCACGGACGATACCGTTTTCGATGCAGTGAAATCGGTGAGGGTTCTTTAGCTTCGTTGTTTTCTTACCGTTCTGACATGTCTTCGGTAAAAATCGCTAGCTCTACGATTTTGTCTCAATGATGGATTCGTGTTCATGGTTGCAGATGACAAGCCACAACGTCGGTGCGCTTTTGGTGATGAGGCCAGACACGAGCGGGACGATCGCGGGAATTGTTACCGAAAGAGGTGCGCACGCGCCGCATGTTAACATCACCTCTCTTTGGCTACTTGTTGCTTATTTCTCTTTCTCTGACATACTCTCACCTTGCTGGTTACTTCACAGATTACCTCAGGAAAATCATTGTACAGGGTCGGTCCTCGAAGACCACAAAAGTTGGCGACATCATGACTGACGAGGTATGTCAACTGAAGCGTGAAACTGAGTGGTGTACTACAGAATAATCAAGAATGATAAGCTCATCGCATGCCGTAGCCTTACGTTTGCCATGACTTTGCAGAATAAGCTTATCACTCTCACACCCGAGACAAGGCTGCTCAAGGCTATGGAGATCATGTCAGGTCAGTAAGCCATGTTTTGTATGCAATGATCAGCATAAGAAGTATTTTATTTGAAAAAAAACAGCAGTTTCCTTGCATGAACGTTCTTGTTCTGCTTCTTCTGTGGTACAGACAAAAGAATTCGGCACATCCCGATGGTTGAGGGACAGAAGATGAAGGGAATGCTGAGCATTGGCGATGTGGTTGCTGCTGTTGTGGAGGAGCATCGGGAGGAGGTGAAGCGGTTGAGTGAATACATCAAAGGCTCCTACTAATAAATCAAAGACTTAAAGGGCCAGCATTCACCACCCTGCTTTACAGCTTCTTCAATGCAGAGCTGACCTCTTGAGCAGGCATTGGATTAGCTGGTTTTAGTGGACAAAAGTCCCTTGTTAGAGTCATATTGCTGGTGTGTCGTCAGTGCAAGACTGATGTACATAAGCGTGAGTTGTGTTTGGAATATGTATTATTCCGAACTCGTCATGATTGTCTGCAATCGGCGCTGCAGCTGTTGCTTATGTTCTTGGCCCTTGGTTTGTATTGATCTAGACTCTTCAGCATTTGTATCTTCCATTGGACCATGAAAATGCTTCAGCTCTTCTCAGCAATCCTAGAAGTATTTTTATTTACTGCCGTATCTTACAATATCAACTATGCACACAACCTACCGTAAACTGCATCAGCAGCCCACACTGGACTGGATGTGCTGGCTTTGTCATTCAGTATTCATCAACCCAGACCAGCATGCTTACACTGCTTCTGGAGTCGGCTCATTGTCTTCCGAAGCAGCACTGGGTTGTTGGTAACAATGACATCAACAGGCAACCCCAGAACTCTCCTCATTCCTGCCCTGTCATCCACTGTCCATACATGCACCTCCTTGCCTCCCCTGCAGGAAGTGAAGTGCATGACAGTGAATAATATTGAGAAATTGGAACAACAAACCGATGGTTATAGACAGATTCTGGAAGTCAGATAGATTCCAGAGAGACACATCTGCCTAAAGAAAGATTCTGATGGTCACTGTGAGACTCTGCATCGTAGTCAAGTCACCCATTGGAAGCCACCAAACCTACTTATGGGCATCTTTGACCGTTTGTAATGTAGCAAGGCTCTCCGCCAGTCCCACCACATGCGACGACTCACGACGCAGCAACCCATTCACAACTCCAGTCTTGAAGTTCCTCCACACTATGTACCCAGTCTGCCTGTGCCACACACAAGGGAAGCACACGCATGCACATAGAGTGCAGATACTATGGTAACTGCACAAGGCGCCTGTCAAGTCACCCCATTCACCACTCCAGTCTTGAAGTTCCTCCACACTATGTACCCTGTTTGAGATTTCACATGGCATGATTGCAGTTCAAGTGAAAGGCCGAGAACTGCTAGCAGCAAAACGAGACGTGCTAGCAGCCAAACGAGACATGCACTAACGTCCCAGATCAGCTCACCTTGATGGACGGCTGGATGCGCGACAAGTGGCGGATGAACTGATCTTCCTTGGACCACACAAGGCACTCGGCACACCCACCGACCCTTTCAAACTGCAATCAGTCTCAAAGAAACAGGCCAGTAGGAAAAAGGGTAGGCAATCAGCAAGAAGACGAGAAGAGGTATTGGATTGCAGAGATTGAGTGCGGTTCAATGAATTTGGGATCTATCCTAAGTGGTTCTGTGGTGGCAAACGGAGTCTATCCAGCTTATTTACCACGTTCAAAAGCCGCTGTGCCATGTGCCTGTTCTCAGCGATTGCTGACGTGGCAATCTTGACATCCACAGTAATGTGCTTCACTCGGCCAATGAGAGCCTGCCATGTCATCCCAGGCGCAAACGAGAGACAAGGGAAGAAGGGGCGGACAGAAGGGAAGAAGAGGGGGGAAGCGAAGGTGAAAGTGAGGTGAAATTGAGGGGGATTTGAGGGGGAATTCGTACCTGTAGTGCCTGCTGCAGCGTGCGAACAGGAACTTGCTCAGCTGCACGGTCGTGAGGAGAGGTAGCAGGCCAAAGAGGCGATAAGCCAACTGGCGTATTTGAGAGGAGCGATCCAGATGCTCAAATGAAATCGTACCTGTAGTGCCTGCTGCAGCGTGAGAACAGGAACTTGCTCAGCTGCAGGGTCGTGAGGAGAGGTAGCAGGTCAAAGAGGCGATAAGTCAACTGGCGTATTTGAGGGGAGCGATCCAGATGCTCAAAGGAAATCGTACCTGTAGTGCCTGCTGCAGCGTGAGAACAGGAACTTGCTCAGCTGCAGGGTCGTGAGGAGAGGTAGCAGGCCAAAGAGGCGATAAGTCAACTGGCGTATTTGAGAGGAGCGATCCAGATGCTCAAAGGAAATCGTACCTGTAGTGCCTGCTGCAGCGTGAGAACAGGAACTTGCTCAGCTGCAGGGTCGTGAGGAGAGGTAGCAGGCCAAAGAGGTGATAAGTCAACTGGCGTATTTGAGAGGAGCGATCCAGATGCTCAAAGGAAATCGTACCTGTAGTGCCTGCTGCAGCGTGAGAACAGGAAGTTGCTCAGCTGCAGGATCGCGAGGAGAGTTAGCGAGCCATAGAGGTGAAATTCAAGCTGGCGGACTTGAGAGAACACAAGGGAGGGGACCGTCTGAAAGGCTCAGTACCTGTAGCGCCTGCTGCAACGTGAGAACAGGAAGTTGGTGCGTTGCAGCATCGCGAGGAGAGGTAGCAGGCCACAGAGGTGATAAATCCAGCTGGCGTATTTGAGAGAAGACAAGGGAGGGGACCCTTGCTGATGGGTCGTTGAGGAGAGATTGTACATCCCTGTTGGGGCGATCAAGATGGGAGAAGGGGGGAGCACCAGTACAGGCCACCAAAGCGGCGATAAGTCGAGCTGGCGTATTCGAGAAAAGACCAGGGAGGGGACCCCCGCTGATGAGTCGTTCCGGAGCGTCTGAACATCCCTGCAGTAGCAAGGCGGGTCGAGGGGGAGGGGGGGGAGTAGCGACAGGGGAGTGGGCCAAAGTGGCAATAAGTCGAGCTGGCGAATTTGAGAGAAGACCAGGGAGAGAACCCGCACTGATGGGTCGTTGAGAAGCGACTGAACCTCAGCCGTGAGAGAAGCGTCCACCCACCTCCACTGAATCTGCCCGACACCACACGCTTCTCACTCCCTCACCCGCCATACATACATACCCCCATTTCCTCCCGTACTCCCCCTCTCTCCCCACCTGTCATGCAGCGCCACCAGAGGCCCATCAGCCGTCAGCGACGCGTCCACCTCCACCGCATCTGCCCCACATCACACCATCTACACCGCACTATACCGGAAGATACCCCTCCCACCTGTCATGCAATGCCACCAGGTGCCCATCAGCTGTGAGCGACGCGTCCACCTCCACCGCATCTGCCCCCGCCGCCACCTGCCCTTGTACTGCAACACTTCACACCATCCGAACCGCATTGTACCGGCACATACACCTCTTCCTTCCGCAACTGTCATGCAGCGCCACCAGATGCCCATCAGCAGTCAGTGACGCGCCCACTTCCACCGCATCTGCCAGACAGACACCACACCATCCCCACCACATTGTACCGGCACACACACCTATCGGAAAACCTCCCCCCCTCCCCCCTCTCACCTGTCATGCAACGCCACCAGATGCCCATCAGCAGTGAGAGACGCGTCCACCTCCACCGCATCTGCCCCCGCCGCCACCGCCCTCTCGAGCGCTGCCAGCTGGCAAACGGGCAGGCAGAACAGAAGAAAGAAAATAAAAAGGAAAATTTGAAAAAACAAGAACGGGGATGGTGCGGGATGAAGATATTTTTTCCCCCCCTCCCCCTTTTTCCTCTATCTTTCCCCTTTTTTTCCCACCTCACAAGATAAAAAAAAGGAAACGGAAAAGGGCTTATCGAGTTGGGAGGGGCGGAGGCGGGGGGGACGGGGTGGAAAAAGTGGGGGAAGGGGAGAGGGGGCGGAAGGGGGAGCGGGGTGGGGGAAGGGCTTACCGAGTTGGGAGGGGCGGAGAACGAATCGCCCCCATGCGCGCACACAAGCGGCGGCCTCTGAATCAACCTCTTGCAGATCTCGTACTTGCGAATCGAATCAGCAGATTTCTCATCCTCTCCGCCAATCGCGGCTCGTTTGCCTGCTGCTCCCCCTCCTTCCTCTACTCCTGCTGACATGGCATCCGTGGATCCAAGGGATAAGAAATCTCCATCATCGTAATCGTCATCAGCGTCAGCATCTAATAAAGGCGTAATTAAATTACTGTCGCCTCCATTAGCTGTGTTGCTGCTGCTTCTGCTGCTGCCGGTGCTACCAGAACCCTTATTCTCCGCTTGCCCTGCCTTCCCTGCATTTACGTTCGTCTCAGTCACTTTTTCCGACAGCGTTAAACGGTTTCCGTCATCCGTTACCGACCGCTGCTGGAGCTGCAGTCGCCAGAGCAGAATTAGAGAGCCGCCGAGCGAAAGAACGAGGAGGAAAAAGAATGCGTTGAAGCGTGTCGCACGGCTTGTGCGATACGAACGACCGCTGGCGATTGGCGTGCGACGCTGCTGGCGAGGAAGCGACGAGGGCGACGGAAAAAGTCGGCGCATCGCTTACGCTGGTCGTACACTAGCTCCCGTTTAGTTCAACCAATCGCGCCTTGAAAGTGTCAGCTTTATGAAAGCAAGCAGAAATATGAATAACGCTGACTAACTTTTTAGTGCGAAATCATGTCGTACACCCTTGTTTTTCCAGTCTGTTATGCTATTCATTAGTATTATTTTCCTGAGTTTATAAATCCGTACGTCTCGATAGAGTAACAGCCCATATAAGCACGTTGCGTCATGGCTCAGAAATTGGAAACCGATCACATTTCTTCCTCGATACTGGCCTGATTTCTGCCTTTCATTACAGACCGCGTGTTTCCCAAGGCTGATGGTGGCTCGATAATTTTGACTGCAAACGACCAATCAACAACTTTTCCTACGTGTGCCTGCCGGTGGCCATTCGTCAACCGCCAATCTGTAGCGTTCAGCAGTCAATCGGACCGTCAACCAAGGAATATGCTCTTGCAGTTCTGAACCAAACTCAACCATACTAAAACTTGCAAAAGGGAGTGGAACACCCGAAGAAGCAACCCGTGCTTCTCACGGCTTTGCTCCTGATTTCTTTGCTCTCTTGTTGCTTCTTCTCAGCGAAGCGACACAACAAACACAACGATATTGTCACCCTGCTTCGCTCCTGATTTTGATGTCTTCACTCCCTAAACTTCTTTATCCACCACCACTGTCACTCTGCTTGTGCCGTCTTTTCCCTTTCTACGTTGTCTAGCGGTATCTGCTCTTTCTGTGTGTCCGCTCTGCTTGGAAAGAAGCAGCGGTTACGTCATCTCCTCTCCTAGCTCGCCTCTCGGTTTCTTCTCTCGTTCCAGCAGCATGAGCTGCTTGCTTACACTCGCAGTCTCCATAATAACCTAAATTCGTTTGTCCGCTAGTTTCCACGCGTGAGCTGCGTGATGCTAACAACGTGGTCACGGTCACGAGATATTTTTTTCGTCAAACCACGTGTCCTTCTCTTAAAATCAGGGTACCAGGGTTTCTCCTTTACATTTACAGCCACGTGTCATTTCTGAAGAAGCCATGGACGATGAATCTAGAAGCATCAGTTCCAGTGAGAGCTTCGGCTCAGGCAGCCACGGCAGCAGTAAAAAGGGAGGCATCGTTTTCAAGAATCGTCTCAAGGGAAAGGTACGCTTGACCTATAAGAGGAACCGCGGTGAGTAATACGATTGACAATAATGAGATCGTTGAGTGAGTTACAAGAGCGAGAATAATGAGATTGAAGAACGAAAAAAGTGAGGTAGAAGACCTGTAGCATATAATTTCCCGTCTGACACTACTTCTTTGCTCGCTCCTTTCTTTGTCACGCCATTTGCTGTTGTTGCCTAAAACCAGTTATAAGAATCCCCCACATGGAGAATTCCTTGTTCTCAATTTGTTGATGTCTGACCTATAATGTTTTTGCTTAATGGCTCGACTTTCTGTCTTCGTGTCTTCGACTTTCTGACCGCTGTCAGGCATCCGTCTCTAGCGTGGCCCTCCCTTCCTTCGGCGACTGGAAGGACAAACCTTCCGTAACTCCCGCTGCCGCTCGTGGAAAGAGCCGAGCAGGCGCGCCTAATGGAGCGGTTAATAACGGGGATGAGGATGGCGGGTACACTGAAGTATTCAAAAAGAAAGCTGACGGACGAGCAGCAGGTTACGGAACTGTTTTAACGCCTCAGTCTACCTTGGGTCGTCAAAGCTCAGGGGCTAGCCAACAGTCGTCTGGAGGTGATTCGGGAAGGGGACGGGTACAGCATGCGCAGGGGATGCAGTACGGTGAGAGGCCTCTGCAGTACGGTGAGAGGGCTGAACAGTACGGTGGCAGGCCTCTCCAGTGCGGTGAGTGGCCTCAGCAGTACGGTGTGCGAGCGCAGCAGTCAGGGATCAGCCAGCAGTCGTCAGGTGATAGCCTATTGTCGTCAGGGTCGAACCACCAGCTGTCAGTACTCAGCCAGCAGCCGTCAGGACTTAGCCAGCAGCCGTCAGGACTCAGCCAGCAGCCGTCAGGGGCAAGCCAGCAGGCGTATGGGATGGCACGGCAAATGTCAGGGGAGTCGATTGCAGGCTTGAATGAGAGGCTTCAGCAGGAGCAGCGGCAGCAACAGCAACAGTTTATGTATCAACAGCAGCAACAGCGGCACAATCAGCAGCAACAGCAGCAACTAGCTTATCAGCAGCAACAGCAGCAACCCACTTATCAACAGCAACAGCAGCAACCCACTTATCAGCAGCAACAGCAGCAACCCACTTATCAACAGCAACAGCAGCAACCCACTTATCAACAGCAACAGCAGCAACCCACTTATCAACAGCAACAGGAGCAACCCACTTATCAACAGCAACAGCAGCAACCCACTTATCAACAGCAACAGCAGCAAACCGCTTATCAACAGCAACAGCAGCAACATCAGCAGAATCAGCAGCAACTGGCTTATCAGCAGCAACAGCTGCAGCATCAGCAGCAACAAATAAGGAATTACCAAATGGGGCGAGACCTGGGAGGGAGCATTGGAGGGACTTTGACACCCATCTATGGTGGCAGAAGCACCACTCAGCAGCAGCAACTGTCGCAGCAGCAGCAGCAGCAGCAGCAGCAGCAGCAGCAGCAGCAGCAGCAGCAGCAGCAGCAGCAGCAGCAGCAGCAGCAGCAGCAGCAGCAGCAGCAGCAGCAGCAGCAGCAGCAGCAGCAGCAGCAGCAGCAGCCACACTCAATGCATGGTCAAATGGGGCGAGAAATGGGTATGGGAGGGAGAATCGGAGGGACTTTGACAACCATCTATAGAGGCAGCAGCACCACTGACGATGATGCAGCCGCTGCCTCAGAAAGCAGCGTTGGGGACAACTTTATCAATGATACAGTTATTGATAAGACTGTTACCAGTTACATGGTTACCACCAGTGACACTGTTACAAGTAGCGCAGTTACCAGTCGCAATGTTTCCAGCAGCGTGGTTGCGCACTTGACAAGTCCAGCTTTAGACGCAGCAGGAACGGGTGTGAAGGTAGTGTCTTCAGCAGCAGCACCAGCAACACCTGCAGCACCACCAACCGTAGCAGCACCACCCATAGCAACACCACCCTTGGCAGCAGCAGCAATAGCATCAGCACCAGAAGCGGCAACACTAGCAGCGTCAGCAGCAGGAGGAGGAATGCCGACGATGCAGGAGCTGCAGCTGCTGCAGATGCCCTCAGCAGTAGCACCACCACCACAGGCATCAGCACCAGCATCAGCAACACTAGCTGCAACACTAGCAGCGCCAGCAGCAGCAGGAGGAATGCCGACGATGCAGGAGCTGCAGCTGCTGCAGATGCAACTGCTGGAACAGCTACAGCGCGTTCAGCTGGTCCTTGGGAGCCAAAACGCTCTCCCCCTTGCCATCCCGCCCCTTTCCTCTTCTGTTGCTGCTCCCATGGCTGCATCGCCTGCTCCTGTTGCTGCTGCTGCTCCTGTTGTTGCTGCTGCTGCTCCTGTTGCTGGTGCTGCTCCTGTTGCTGCTGCTGCTCCTGTTGCTGCTGCTACGCCTCTACCTGCTACCCCTGCCTCACTGCCTGCGGCCCCCGCCCCCTTACCTGTTACCCCTGCCCCTTCACCCGCTATTTCTGGCCCCCTACCTCTTACCCCTGCACCCCTAACCGCTATCTCAGCCCATGCTATCGTGCCTGCAGCTGCGTCTAGTGCTGCGGCTGGTTTTGAGGCGCATCAAACTGCGTCTGGTGCTTCTGCTAGGGAGCATGCTGGGTGGATTAACGAAGAGGAATCTGAGGAGGTAATGGGGAAGGAAAGCGAGGAGGATGGGTGGATGAACAAGGAAGAATTCAAAGAGCAGGAGGCTGGGGATGGGAAGGGGAAGGAAGGGGAGGAGGATGGGTGGATGAAAGGGGAGGAGGCTGAGGAGGGTGGGAAAGAGGGGGGAAGCAAGGACGAAGGCAAGGAGACGGAGGAGGAGGGAGAGGAAGATGAAGAGGAGGAAGATGAGGCATTGCTGCTGGAGCAGTGGAAAGCCCAGGTGCTCAAGATGACTGCCGCATTGAGTGTTGGAGAGGGAGAGGGAGGAGAGGGAGGGGGAGGAGAGGGAGGAGAAGCACCAGAAGTAGCGGCACCTGAGGATTCACCTGACGCAGCAGTGGGGCCTGGTTTCAGGTATTATGGGGCACTTGAGAAAGAGTCTGGCGCAGCTGCTGCAGGCAATCATGTGTCTCTTTGCCGTTTTTCATCAGCCGCAGCTGCAGCAGCAGATGCAATGGAGGAGGGGGCAGCAGCGGCTTTAGAGGCAGCTCTTGCTGACGTGGAAGCAGCAGCAGCAGAAGGAGCATTTGCTTACACAGGTGCATATTCAGGTGCTGGAGAGGCAGGGTCTGGTCATGGGGCACGGGAAAGCTACTTGCTGAGGGTAGCAGCAGCTGATCTAGCTGGTGGGATGGAGGAGGAAGCACCCGAGTCGCTCACATCAGCTCTTGCTAATGCTGTAGCTGCAGCAAGGGATGATGCTGCTGATGCTGGTGTTGGTGCTGGTGGTGCTGCCGCTGCTGCTGCTGCTGGTGGCAATGCGTTGGTGCCGCATACCAAACCGAGTAAGTTCGGAAAACTGCCTTTTATGAAGTCAGTATCAGTGCCAAAAGGTTTCGGGGCCTTATACCCTGTGGGGCCCAAATCCCCACTCCGAAGTCTGGCAAGGGCAGGTTCGGGAAACGTGGCAGTTGCTTTGAGGGCAGGTTCGGGAAACGTTGCAGGTGGTTTGGAAGGCGTAGCTGGAGCCGGAGGTGCCAAGCCGAACTTGCACCCGGAGCAGGAGGATGGGGAGGAGTGGGGCGGGGCTACTGAGAGGTTTCAGAGGATGGGGCTAGCTCGAAAAGCAAAGCCCTCGTTTAAAGGTGGGAGGCCGGGACGGATTGATGAGCAGAATAGTTCTTGTAACGAGGATGCTTATATGGAGAGCGGTTTTGGTGGTCGCCAGAGCTTTGAATCTAGTGAAGGAGAGTGGCGTGGAGGAGGAAGAAGTGTAGGGAAAGGAGATGGGGAGGTGGAGAGGGGTGTTTTCAAGGGTGGTGCCACAGAGGAGAAGGAGGACGAGGAGGAGGAGGAGGAAGGTGAGGAGGGAGGAGGGGGGTTCACAGAAGTGTTTCAGCAGAGAATGTTGGCTCGTAAGGTGAAACCCGCCTTTGGGGCTGGGAGGCGGGAAGGTATTTTTGAAAGAAACAGTGCGTGTGATGAGAGTGCTTATAACGAGAGTTTTCACAACATGAGTGACGGGGACGCTGAAAAGGAGAGTGCTTATAACGGGAGTGCTTACGATGGTAGCGCTCACAACAGGAATGCACTTAAAGGGAGTGCTTATAACGTTGCTGGTAGAGGAGAGGAACGAAGGGTGGGCTTACCAGCAGGGTCTGGGGCGGGTAACAGATCGCCTGCTGCTGCCAGTGAGTTTTGTGAGGTTTCAAGCGGTTCGGGCGATTCTGGTGTGGTATCAAGTGGTGCAGAGGATTCCGGTCGTGCTTTGGGGGGTGCTGCTCCTCCCCCCGCTTCTGCCTTCGGTGGCCCTCCTCACCTTGCCTTCGGCCCTCCTCACCATGCCTTCAGCCCTTCTACTCCTGTTGCCGGCTTTCCGAGCGCACCTGGGTTGGGGGGTGCGCCTCTGTTGGGGGGTGCGCCTTTGTTGGGGGGTGCGCCTTTGTTGAGGGGTGCTCCTTCCTTTCCAGCGTTCGGTCCCGGAAATGGTTTCGGTGGGGGAAATGGTTTTGGTGCTGGCAGTGGTTTTGGTGCTGGTGCTGGGTTCGGTGCTGGTGGTGGTTTTGGTGTTGGTGGTGGTTCTGGTGCTGGTGGTGGTTTAGCAAAGGGTGTTGCCTCTCACACACCCGGCTCCAACCCCTTTGCCTCTGCAGCTCGTAACATTGCTTCTGCAGCAGCAGGTCGACCTGCCCCTAAACACACTCCCAATCCACTTCACCTTGCCACGCTCCCGCCTGCCTCTGCTGCCGATTCTGCTGCCGATGCTTCTGCTGCTGTGGTTGCAGCAGCTTCTTTTGCTGCTGCGAAACCCAGTGGTAGGGCAGGTGCGGCAAATGGTGGTGGGTACGGTGGAAATGGTGGTGGGTACGGTGGAAATGGTGGTGGGTACGGTGGAAATGGTGGTGGGTACAGTGGAAACGGTTGGGTGCACGGAGGAGTGGCAGCAGCAGGAGCAGCAGCAGGAGCAGGAGGGGCAGGAGCACGAGGAGCAGCAGGAGGGCATGGTCAAGAGAAAAAGGTAAGGCATCATGTTGGATAAACACCTCTATGATTCTATGGCACCACTATGGCACCCATAGATGGCACAACTGCAGGCACTATGGCACCACTAGAGTGTATTCCGATTCTGCTGCTCTGCCTGCTCTCTGTGATTTTTTAGAAATTTCCAAAACCACTTGCAGCAAAATGGTAGGTCAGCAGGCTAACAGCGCCACTAGGCTGACAGCACCACTAGGGTTTTTTCGATTACCTAAAGCTATGCCTGCTCCCTAAGGCACCATTAGGGTGTTGAATCAGTATCTCTGCCTCTGCCTACCTGCTTTTGAGTCGACTCAAAAGCACCTGGGTGTTTTCGAGACCCTAGAACTGTATGCCTGCTCCCTGTGGCACCATTAGGGTGTTGCATCTGTATCTCTGCCTCTCCATGCCTGCCCGGGTATGTATATGTGGGGCTTGGGTAGCTTTGGTAGGAAGACGATTTTTGAGGCGCCTAAAAATTGAGACGACTTTTGAGGCGCCAAAAAGATTGAGACGGTTTTATGGGCGCCTAAAAAAATGTATCCGGCAGATGGAGCAGGTAGCTTTGGTAGGAAACGACTGGTCCATCCGCCATTGAAGCTGCTTTTTCCCGTCACATGCATTCTCGCCGTATTTCTTCTCCTGCACTTGTGCTCATCTTATTGAGGTTGATGCGCTTGTGCGTGCCTTACCGATTTATCTCGGTGCCCTTCTGTGTGCTCTGCTCTCAACCCCTTGTGTGCCCACTGCATTCAATCCTTTCTCGTGCCCATACGTTTGCAGAATGTCTCGGGCTTTATCAACAAGCTTTGGAAGAGGTAAAACTTACACAATTTGTCATGTTTGCATCAGTGTCAGCACTTGTACTAATAGAGTACTTAGATTCCTTGTATTTAGGGTTTCGGGATTATTTGAGTGTACGTACATGTCCCTTCATAAATTTATAAAATTCGCTGAAGTGGCGTACCGACAATTCATGCTACAGCTGAGAACTTTCGTGACCAATCAGATCTGTTTCCTCGATTTTGGTTCCGATTCTGCCTGCCATTGAAACCACGCGTTTCTCAAGGCTGGTATTGAGCAAACTGATATTCTCGTCGTTCCGCGCGACCAATCGTCAGCTTTCCCAAACAGTGCCCGCCAGCCAATCGCCAACCGCTGATGTGTAGCATTGATATCCTTTTCGCCAGCCCTATCGCCAGAGCAGATTGCGCTGTTCGCGATATTTAACCGAACTCCACCGACAGAAAGATTGCACAACAGAATTGAAACACCTGAACAAGGAACGCGTGCTTCTCACGACTTTGCTGCCGTTCCTTTTCAGCTTTCGTTTCAGTGATGCACTCCATTCATTCATGATGGCAGTTTTCGGTGACTACAGAGCCATTCAATCCCTCTGGTTTTTTTTTTCACCGTTTTAGACCATTGCAAACCAGACTAGACCTTAGAAAGCCAGCTGTAGACCAACAAAAATGACCCGCCTGATCCGCCAGGACTACCGCTCTGCTTCTGCCCTCTGTGTCTCCCCATCTCAGTCATCCAGCGCTTCTGCTATTTCCGTCTGTCTGTCTGTCTGTCTCTCTCTCTCTCTCTCTCTCTCTCTCTCTCTCTCTCTCTCTCTCTCTCTCTCTCTCTCTCTCTCTCTCTCTCTCTCTCTCTCTCTCTCTCTCTCTCTCTCTCTCTCTCTCTCTCTCTCTCTCTCTCTCTCTCTCTCTCTCTCTCTCTCTCTCTCTCTCTCTCTCTCTCTCTCTCTCTCTCTCTCTCTCTCTCTCTCTCTCTCTCTCTCTCTCTCTCTCTCTCTCTCTCTCTCTCTCTCTCTCTCTCTCTGGTGTGGAACAAAGCTGTGGTTACATCCTTCCTTTTCATAGCTCATTTTTCTCTCTTCCCCCATTCGAGCATGCGTTACTTCCACTAGCAGTCTCGTGGATAACTTCATCCCTTTCGTCCCCATTCGTCCACTGATTTCCACGCGTGAGCTGCTTGTTACAGCAACGCCAGCCACGGTCTCGTTCTCGATTTTTTAGAGATATTCCCCGACTTCACCGCGTTCCATTCTCTAGGAAACTATTTTTTTACATTAGCAGCCACGTGTGACAAAGCCATGGACGATGAATCTAGCCGAATCGGTTCAGGCAGCCACGTCAGCAGTAAAAACTGAGGCATCGTTATCAAGAATTGGCTTAAAGGAAAGGTACGCCGTATGTCAAAGAAATCGTAGCTTATCCATAGCAGCAATAAATGTGATACGAGCGAGCGACACAACTTTTTCTTGATGGCATTAGTCATGTTGGAATTGTGGGGGAGAGATTGCCCTCCACGCGAAGACCTCCCTTGACTCGGACCAAGGGAGGGTTCTTTCTCGGAATGAGGGGTGACGGCGGATTGCCCGCGTCGACACTCAACCAAGTTCGCCCCCGGTTGGGTCCGAATATTTGTGGGGGCGACACTTGGCAGCCCCACAAGCATGCACGAAAATTGCAAGAGTGCAAGCGAATGTTACGAACATTTCGCTACACTCGCTATTGTCCCTTGTAACTCACGATTGTCGGCGTGAAGAAACAAACCCGGCAAAGTCCGAAATTGTGAACGCGGACGTCGCGGAAATTGGATGTGATCCTGAGTCCGAATTTCCGGCGAGTCGCGCGCGGTTCGATGTTACAATTGTGCGTGCATGTTTTAGCTATAAAATCAGAGAGCAAATTCCAGAGAGTTAACTTCAAACTCGTCACTTGTACCCATCCTTGCATTATAAGAAGTATCTCTTTCAATTCTCAGGCGATTACAGAGATTCAAAGTGCCACGGATTCCTTGCCCCGAGCCCGTCGGAACGATAATAGTCTTGGCTCCTAACTCGCCAAGTAAAATCTGTGGCGTCACTAGGAGTGAGACGGTTTCCTTCATGGTATGAGAGCTAGAGTAAGAGTGTTCGCTCAATCGTTGCTACGCGATAGGTACCACCGAGACTTCGTCACCGATGAAGGCGCCAACAACCCCTTTCTTTCCGACGGAGTTTTCGACAACACCGTATGTTGTCGATATGAACGCGGTGCCAATTTTTAATGGGGAGCATTCCCCCTCGTGGCGCTTCAAGCTCAAGGTCTAAATGACGGAGCGCGACTTGTGGGGCTTTTTCGATGGGTCGGCATCGAAGCCCTCTTCGGGCGCTTCAACCGGGGAAAAAGAAGCGTGGGTGCGAAAGGACAATAAGACATTTGTCTTTCTTGTCTCCAAGCTAAGTCTCCAACTCGTCCACATCGTGAGTCCGTGCATCAACCGTGAAGGCGCGACTCGTGAAGCGTGGAAGCGACTCGAAGGAGAGCACGTCTCCAAGTCACTTCATAGCAAGTTTCAAGCGCGCCTCGACTTTTTCACGGTGCGGATGAAGGACGGCGAGTCAATGCGCGCGTACGTCAACCGCGTGAAGGAGCTTGGCGAGCGCTTGGTGGAACTCGACACGAGCGTGGGAGACAACGATTGGATCATGACGCTTCTCGCGGGCCACGGTGAAGCATGGTCAACGGTGATCACGATGTTGGATGGGACGCAAGATACGTGGAAAATGGAGCAAGTGGTGGCACGCCTCATCAACGAAGAGGCGAGGCGCACAAAATTGCATGGCGATGCAATCGGTACGGCACACTTCTCCCGTGATGCGAAGGCGAAAGGGACGGGTCACTTCAAGCGGCGCAACGACGGCAACAACCGCGAGAGTTAGAACGGGAGCGCGGCGACCTCAAGCTCATCACGAGGAGGATCGGCCAACGCCAATCGAGCTCGGGCGCGAGAGGGTGCTTGTCGTTTTTGCAAGAAGACGGAACATTGGTGGCGCGATTATCCCGTTACACCGGCAAATTGGAGGCCGTCTTCAAGTGACGACAACCAGCGCGCGCATGTGGCGACATGCGACAACAACGACCGGGAGTTCATCTTCGTCGCAAGTGGAACGACCGTCGGTGGTGTTGACGCGTGGGTACTCGACGCGGGTGGTACTCAACACATGACGGCGTGCGCGACGCTTCTCAACAACGTGACAACGGTAGCGCCCGCTAAGCGCGTGATGTTCGGCAGCTGTGACACGTTGGACGTCACGGGACAAGGCGACTTGCGGCTCATGGTGGACGGCGGTCCACTCACCATCAAGAACGTCTTGGTGGTTCCTGGGCTCGGCGCCAACCTCCTCTCCGTTTCCCAATTCACACGCAAGGGGATGCGTATGAATATTGAAGGGACCATGATGGCGTTGAGCACGGCGGACGGAGTACACATCGGCACGGCACGCCAAGCGGGTGGACTCTTCGTGCTCGACGCTCTCCTTAGCGTGGCATCGGCTCAAGCGGCTACCTCGACAACCACTCTCTCAACGTGGCATAATCGGCCTGGCCACCTCCACCTCGCCGCTATTCAAGCTATGGCAACGAAGGGGATTGTCGACGGCTTGGAGTTTGTGTGCTCGAGTGGAGATGACGAGAAGTGTGTCGGTTGCCTTGAAGGGAAAATGACACGGAAACATTTTCCACCAAGTACGAAGCCGAATGCCTCCGAACCTCTCAAGCTTGTTCACACGGAATTGTGTGGACCCATCACTCCCGCGTCAAAGGGCGGCGCGCGCTACGTCCTCACGCTTATCGACGACGCGACGCGGATGTGTTGGATTTGACTTCTCAAGCACAATGACGCCACGTCAACCGCCATCAAGCAATGGGTGGCGGATGTGGAGAAAGAAAGTGGTTTAAGGTCAAGCGCTTTCGCTCGGATGGAGGTGGCGAATATACCGTTCGGGAGCTCGGCGATTGGTTGAAAGGACGTGGGACCGCGCATGAATTCTCGACGCCGTATACGCCTCAACAAAATAGAGCCGCCGAACGCTTGAGCCGTACGCTCATGGAGTCGGCACGGAGTCTGCTCTCCCATGCTCACGCGGAGAAGCATTGGTGGGGTGAGGCGGTTACGTTGGCAACTTGGATTCGCAACTGGTGCGTGACCAAGGCGTTGCCCAACAAGACGCCTCTTGAGGCTTGGAGCGGTACGAAGCCGGACGTCACCGACCTTCGCACGTTTGGGTGTACGTACTACTATCATGTACTCGACGTCACACGGACCAAGCTTGAGGCTAAGGCGCGGGTGACGATGTACTTGGGACCAAGCGCGGATCACAAGGCATGGCGTGTGTGGGATTTGGAGCACGGGAAGCTCGTGGTGTCGCGCGACGTGGTGTTATATGAAGACACCTTCTCGTCCAAGTCCATGACCGTGCCATCGGTCATCATCATCCCTCCTCCCTTGGATGTCGCGGATGAGGCGGATGACGCTCCTACGGGTTCTCCTCCTAGTACGAATGAGGGGGAGAATGGATCGGGTGCGGTTGGAGTGAGTGGGGATGAAGGAAATGCCAAAGAAAGTGACCTTTCGTCTCCTCCTCCTACTATCACTCCCACCCTCGCATCCACTCGCACTCGGAGGAACCTTCATCCCAACTCCAAGTATGATGGCTATTCTCTTGTGGCGGGGGATGATGAGGGAGGGGGAGATGCTATATGTCTTGAGGCATACACCGACACCCCGTCCACCTACCAAGGCGCCATGAGCTCGGCGGAAGCGACGGAATGGGAACGTGCGCTTCAAGAGGAGTACGATTCGCTCATGGCGAACGACGTCTACGAGTATGTCCCCATGCCTCATGGCGCCTATCTCGTTGGCTCTCGTTGGGTCTTCAAGAAGAAGCTCGGCCCCAATGGAGAAGTGAAGCGGTACAAGGCGCGGTTGGTGGCTCAAGGGTACACTCAAAAAGAGGGTCTTCACTTCAACGATACGTTCACTCCCGTCATCAAGTCCGCTACGTTGCGCACCCTCTTGGCATTGGCGGGAGCACTCGACTTGGAGGTGGAACAGCTCGATGTGAAGACGGCGTTTCTCATGGTCGTCTCAAGGAGGAGGTGTACATGAAGCAACCTCCCGTGTTCGACGACGACTCCTACCGCGTGTGCAAGCTCAAGCGTACGATCTACGGCCTCAAGCAAAGCCCTCGTGCGTGGTACATGAGGATCGACGAACACTTGCTTTCATTGGGATTCGTGTGGAGCGAGTGTGACCACGCGCTCTACATGCTCAACAAGGATGAGAAGAAGCTCGTTCTTCTCCTCTACGTCGATGACCTTCTCCTCGTGTCGGATTCCAAGTCCCTTGTAGCGGACATGAAGACGAAGCTTGCCGCCAAATTTTCCATGCGTGACCTCGGCGCCGTCTCACACTACCTAGGGATGCACATCGATCGTAATCGAGGGAACAAGACTCTCGCCTTCCACCAACACAAGTACTTGGAGAGTGTTGTGGATCGTTTCGGCATGATCGAAAGCAAACCTACACCGACACCCATGGAAGCGGGGTTTCATCCCTTGTCCGTGAGCGATGAGAACCCCATGGATCCCGAGAGCGCCAAGACCTTTCACTCGGTCGTTGGGTCGTGCATGTATGCCGCGGTGAGCATTCGACCCGACCTCTCCTTTCCCGTTGGAGTGCTTGGACGTGTCGTCTCCAACCCCAAGGTCGAGCATGTGCGAGCATCACGTCGCCTTCTTCGCTACATCAAGGGCACCACTCGAATGGGGTTGCACTACGAGAAGGGACCCGTGGTGCTACAAGGCTACACCAATGCGGATTGGGCGGGAGATCCTTCAACCCGCCAAAGCACTTCGGACTATATCTTCACCCTCGTGGGAGGTGCAATAAGTTGGCAAAGCAAGCACCAAAACTTGATTGCACTTAGCTCCACCGAAGCGGAATATGTGGCGCTCACTCGTGGTGGTACGGAAGCGGTTTGGCTAAGGCGCCTTCTTGCCGAGCTTGGGCAACAACAAGAAGGCCCCACTCCTATCTACGTGGACAACCAAGCCGGCATTGGCCTAGCCAAGAACTCGGTCCTCCACGGAAGGACCAAGCACATCCAAATCCGCCATCACTTCATTCGCAAGCTCGTTGAAGACAACGAAGTCGAGCTTCGTTACATCAAAACCAACATGCAACCCGCGGACTTCCTCACCAAGCCATTGCCTAGAGATGTTCTTTATGCATGTTGTGCTAGGGTAGGCTTGCATGCTTAGTTGTGCGTGGGGTGCAAGGGGGAGTGTTGGAATTGTGGGGGAGAGATTGCCCTCCACGCGAAGACCTCCCTTGACTCGGACCAAGGGAGGGTTCTTTCTCGGAATGAGGGGTGACGGCGGATTGCCCGCGTCGACACTCAACCAAGTTCGCCCCCGGTTGGGTCCGAATATTTGTGGGGGCGACACTTGGCAGCCCCACAAGTATGCACGAAAATTGCAAGAGTGCAAGCGAATGTTACGAGCATTTCGCTACACTCGCTATTGTCCTTTGTAACTCACGATTGTCGGCGTGAAGAAACAAACCCGGCAAAGTCCGAAATTGTGAACGCGGACGTCGCGGACATTGGATGCGATCCTGAGTCCGAATTCCCGGCGAGTCGCGCGCGGTTCGATGTTACAATTGTGCTTGCATGTTTTAGCTATAAAATCAGAGAGCAAATTCCAGAGAGTTAACTTCAAACTCGTCACTTGTACCCATCCTTGCATTATAAGAAGTATCTCTTTCAATTCTCAGGTTATACAGAGATTCAAAGTGCCACGGTTTTCTTGCTCTGAGCCCGTCGGAATGATCCTAGTCTTGGCTCCTAACTCGCCAAGTAAAATCTGTGGCGTCACTAGGAGTGAGACGGTTTCCTTCAAGTCAGACAGAAAAGCGACAATAGTAATAGTGCGACTTTAATGAGTCTGAGGAGCGAAAACGCTGAGGTAGAAGAGCGACAATAATGAAATAGGAGAGCGACAATGAGATAGGAGAGTGACAATAATGAGATAGGAGAGCGACAATAATGAGATAGTAGAGCGACAATAATGAGATAGGAGAGCGACAATAATGAGATAGGAGAGCGACAATAATGAGATAGGAGAGCGACAATAATGAGATAGGAGAGCGACAATAATGAGATAGGAGAGCGACAATAATGAGATAGGAGAGCGAGAATGATGAGATAGGAGAGCGAGAATAATGAGATAGGAGAGCGAGAATAATGAGATAGGAGAGCGACGATAATGAGATAGGAGAGCGACAATAATGAGATAGGAGAGCGACGATAATGAGATAGTAGAGCGACAATAATGAGATAGGAGAGCGACAATAATGAGATAGGAGAGTGACAATAATGTGATAGGAGAGCGACAATAATGAGATAGGAGAGCGACATCAATGAGATAGGAGAGCGACAATAATGCGATAGGAGAGCGACAATAATGAGATAGGAGAGTGACATTAATGAAATAAGAGAGCGACAATAATCAGACCGGAGAACGGAAATGCCGACTTAAAATTGTGACGCTAATGAGAGCGGATGGCGACAATAATGAGACTGAAGAGCGACAATATGAAACTCACGAACGACAATATGTGACTAAAGAGCGACAATAATCATGCTGGAGAGCGGAAACACTGAGTTAGAAAATTGACGATAATGGGATCGGGTAGCGACAATAATGAGACTGAAGAGCGAAAGAACCGAGGCAGAAGATCGACAATAATTAGTTTGAGGACCCACAACATATAGTTTCCGTCTGGTACTACCTCTTTGCTCACACGATTAGGCGTGATACATGTTCATCGTTTTATATAACAGCTTCCTGCCACGTTTTCCGTTGTCGCCTCCTTTAAAATTTCAAATACACTTCTGCTCTTGATCCGTTGGTGTTCGAAACTGTAAATTCTTTAATTCTAGTGGCTCGACTTTGTGTCTTTTACTCCTCCACTCCATTTTCCGTCAAACAGCCATTAATCAAAACTTGGAACGTCCTTCGTTTCGAGAAGCAGCCAATGAAATATGCCGTTATTGTTTTTGTCCTTCCGCCCTTCTTCCGTCTCCTCCCGCCAACCTCTTCCTTTCCCTTGTTCCGCCTTCCCTCTCTTCCCCCTCCCCCCCATTCCCCCTTCCTTCCTTCCTCTTCACCCCTCCGCTGCTGCCAGACATCCGCCCCCAGCGTCGATTTACCCACCTTCGGCGACTGGTGGAACAAACCCGCCGCCGTCCTGGAAAGGGTATCACGGGTGCGCCAGACGGGGCTGTCAATAACGGGGACGAGGTCGGCGCATACACTGAAATGATGGAAAGGTGGGGCAGCGAGCATGCCAGATCTGTCTTGGCTCCTCAGTCCAGCCTGGGGTGTCAATAGTCAGGCGCAAGCCAAGAGTCTTCTTGAGGGGGTTCGGGGAGGGGATGTGTACAGTATGGGCAAAGGATGCTGTACGGCGAGAGGCCTCAAGAGTACGGCGAGAGGGCACAACAGTACGGTGATGGGCCTCTGCAGTACGGTGAGAGGGCTCAACAGTACGGTGGGGGGTCTCAGCAGTACGATGTGCGAGCGCAGCAGTCAGTAATCAGCCGGCAGTCGTCAGGTGATAGCGTGCTGTCGTCAGGGTCGAACTGGCAGGCGTTCGGAGTTGACCAGAGGCCATCCCGAATCAGCCCACAGCCATCAGCACTCAGCCAGCAGCCTTCAGGACTCAGCCAGCAGTTGTCAGGACTCAGCCAGCAGTTGTCAGGACTCAGCCAGCAGTTGTCAGGACTCAGCCAGCAGCCGTCAGGACTCAGCCAGCAGCCGTCAGGACTCAGCCAGCAGCCGTCAGCACTCAGCCAGCAGCCGTCAGAACTCAGCCAGCAGCCTTCAGGACTCAGCCAGCAGTTGTCTGGACTCAGCCAGAAGTTGTCAGGACTCAGCCAGCAGCCGTCAGGACTCAGCCAGCAGCCGTCAGCACTCAGCCAGAAGCCGTCAGCACTCAGCCAGCAGCCGTCAGCACTCAGCCAGCAGCCGTCAGGAGCAAGCCTGCAGGCGTATGGGGTAGCACGGCAAATGTCAGGGGAGTCGATTGCGGGTTTGAATGTAAGGCTTCAGCAAGGGCATCAGTAGCAGCAACAGCAACAGCAGCAGCATGCCTATTATCAGGAGCAGGAGCTGCTGCCATATCAGCAGCAGCAACTCCAGCGCAATCAGCAGCCACAGCTGCAACAACTGACTTATCAGCAGCAACAGCCGCAACAACTGGTTTATCAGCAGCAACAGCCACAACAGCTGGCTTATCAGCAGCAACTGCCGCAACAACTGGTTTATCAGCAGCAACAGCCACAACAACTGCCTTATCAGCAGCAATAGCCGCAACAAGTGCCTTATCAGCTGCAACAGCCACAACAACTGCCTTATCAGCTGCAACAGCCACAACAACTGCCTTATCAGCAGCAACAGCCACAACAACTGCCTTATCAGCAGCAATAGCCACAACAACTGCCTTATCAGCTGCAACAGCCACAACAACTGCCTTATCAGCAGCAACAGCCACAACAACTGCCTTATCAGCTGCAGCAACAGCCGCAACAACTGCCTTATCAGCAGCTACAGCCGCAACAACTGCCTTATCAGCAGCAACAGCCGCAGCAACTTCCTTATCAGCAGCAACAGCTGCAACAACTGGATTATCAGCAGCATCAGCAGCAACAAGTTACGCACAATCAAATGGCCATTGGAGGGAGCATTGGAGGCGCACTTGCACCCACCTGCAGTGGCAGCAGCAGCAGCAATCAGCAGCAACAGCTGGCGCATCAGCAGCAGCAGTCAATCAGCAGCAGCCACGATCAATGGATGGTCAAATCGACCGAGAAATGGGTATGGGAGGGAGCATTGGAGGGGCACTAGCCCCAACCTTCAGCAACAGCATGAGCACCACTTACGATGATGACGCTGCTTCAAGCAGCAGCGCTGGGGACAACTTCATCAGTGAAACAGTTAATGATACGGTTGGTACCAGATACTCAGATACCGACGCTGTTACCAGTTACACATTCAATATTATGTCAGCAGCAGCAGCGTCTGCAGCAGCGCCAGCAGCAACGCTAGCAGCAGTGGCAACTACACCGGCAGAGCTAGCAGCACCACTGTTAGCACCAGTGGCAGCAGCAGGAGAGATGCTGACAATGCAGGAGCTGCAGCTGCGTCAGCTGCAACTGCTTGAGGAGCTACAACTGTTGGAACAGCTGAAGCATTCAAAGCTCGTCCGGGACAGCCAACATGTTATCCCTCTTGCCCTTACACCAATGGCTGTTGCCGCCGCTACCCCTGCTGCCGCTTTTGCCGCTGCTGCTGATGCACCAATGGCAGCACAATCAGCAGCAACAAATGCCGCTGCCATACCAGCACTGGCTCCTGGTCCTGCTGCTCCTGCTGCTCCAGTTGTTGCCGCTGCGCCTTCTTTTCCTGCCCATACGCCTGCTTCCCCTGACCATCAACCTGCTTCCCCTGCCCATCTACCTGCTTCCCCTGTCCGTCAACCTGCTTCCCCTGCCCATGCACCTGCTTCCCCTGCCCATCAACCTGCTTCCCCTGCCCATCAACCTTCTTCCCCTGCCCATCTACCTGCTTCCCCTGCCCGTCAACTTGCTTCCCCTGCCCGTCAACTTGCTTCCCCTGCCCATCAACCTGATTCCCCTGCCCATCAACCTTCTTCCCCTGCCCATCTACCTGCTTCCCCTGCCCGTCAACTTGCTTCCCCTACCCGTCAACTTGCTTCCCCTGCCCATCAACCTGATTCCCCTGTCCATCAACCTGTTTCCCCTGCTCGACAACCTTCTTCCCCTGCCCATCTACCTGCTTCCCCTGCCCGTGAACCTGCTTCCCCTGCCCGTCAACCTTCTTCCCCTGCCCATCTACCTGCTTCCCGTACCCGTCGACCTCCTTCCTCTCTCCATCTACCTTCTTCCCCTGGGCATCCACCTGCTTCCCCTACCCATCTGCCTGCTTCTCCTGCCCATCAATCTGCTTCCCCTGCACGTCAACCTTCTTCCCCTGCCCGTCCACCTGCTTCCCCTGCCCGTCTGCCTGCTTCCCCTCTCCATCTACCTGCTTCCCCTTCCTTTCAGCCTGCTTCCCCTGCCCGGCCACCTGCTTCCCCTTCCTATCAGCCTGCTTCCCCTGCCCGTCCACCTGCTTCCCCTTCCTATCAGCCTGCTTCCCCTGCCCGTCCACCTGCTTCCCCTGCCCGTCCACCTGCTTTCCCTGCCCATCCACCTGCTTCCCCTGCCCGTCAACCTCCTGCCCCTGACCATCTACCTGCTTCCCCTACCCGTCAACCTTCTTTTTTTGCCCGTCAACCTGCCTCCCCTCCCGTCTACCTGCTTCCCCTGCCCGTCAACCTGCTTCCCCTGCCCGTCTACCTTCTTCCCATGGAGAGGAGGAAGAATACGAGATGCCACCATTGGAGCAGTGGAAATCTCATGTGCTCAGAATGATTCCTACGTTCATTGAAGGAGAGGGAGAGGGAGCCGGAGAGGGAGCCGGAAAGGGAGAGGATGAGATGGGGCATCTGGGATCACCAGCACCAGCAGCACCAGCAGCACCGGCAGCACCGGCAGCACCAGCAGCACCATAAGCACCGGCAGCGCCAGCTTTTGTGTATTTAGAGGCACCTGAGAATGCACCTGAATATGCACCTGATGCAGCGGTGGGGCCTGGTCTGGGGTACTATGTGGCAGCAACCCCAGAGGCAGGTCCAGGAGGCATGGAAGCAGCAGTGGGAGAAGAAGAATTTCCATGTTCAGGTACAGGTTCAGGTGCATATTCAGGTAAATATTCAGGTAAATATTCAGGTAAATATTCAGGTGTTGGTGGTTCCGGGTATTTTGAATCAGGTGAAAGTGTAAGTGACTCACCGGGAGCAGCAGCAGCTGGAGTAGCAGGCATCGGAGGAGGAGGTTGGACGGAGGAGGAGGAGCCACTTGACTCTCTCACAGCAGAACTAGCTGCTGTTGATGTAGCTCCCGCTGCTGCTGCTTCTACTCCAGGAGGTGGGAGGGAAGAGGATGAAGAGACGTCTCCCACGGAAGCTCTAGCTGCTGTTTGTATTCTTGCTCGTGCTGGTGGTGGTGGTGCTGCTGCTGCTGCTCGTGCTGGTGCTGGTGTTGGTTCTGCTGGGACTGCTGCTGCTGCTGCTGCTGGTGCTGCTCGTGCTGGTGGTGCTGCTGTTGCTGCTGCTCCTTCTCGTACTGGTGTTGCTGCTGCTGCTGCTGCTGCTGCTGCTGGTGCTCGTGCTCCTGCTCGTGCTGGTTCTGGTGCGGCTGCTGCTGCTGCTGCTGCTGCTGCTGCTGCTGCTGCTGCTGCTGCTGCTGCTGCTGCTGCTGCTGCTGCTAGTGCTGCTGCTGCTGGTGCTACTACTGCTTCTGGTGCTGCTGCAGCTGCCGGTGCTTCCAGTAGCAATGCTTCGGCGCATGCCAAGTCAAAGAAATCGGGAGGTCTTCTTATTTTTTGGGGAAAGGGAGGGCGAGAGGGTGGGAAGGCGAAGGGAGGGGAGCAGGGGGACAAGAAATCATTGGATCGAAAGGAATAAGGGATGGGGTTACAAGCTGTGCATGGGGCGGGTGAGAGATCACCTGCTGCTGCTATTGAAGGAGGGCGAGGGGGTGGGAAGGCGAAGGGAGAGGAGTAGGGGGACAAGAAGGAAGATGAGGAAAGGAATATCACGGCTCTGTATGATCGGAAATTGTTGGATCGAAAGAAAGAAGGGATGGGGTTACAAGCTGTGCATGGGGCGGGTGAGAGATTGCCTGATGCTGCTATTGAAGGAGGGCGAGGGGGTGGGAAGGCGAAGGGAGGGGAGCAGGAGGGCAAGAAGGAAGATGAGGAAACGAATATCATGGCTATGTATGATCGGAAATTGTTGGATCGGAAAAAATAAGGGATGGGGTTACAAGCTGTGCGTGGGCGGGTGAGAGATCACCTGCTGCTGCTATTCGATCCAGTCAGGTTCCACGCGATTCGGGTGGTGCTGGTGCGGTATCAGGCGGTGCGGTATCAGGCGGTGCGGTATCAGGTATCTGACCATGCTTTAGGGGTTGCGGCTCCTGCCCCTGCCTCGACCTTCAGCCCTCCTCACCTTGTCTTCAGCCCTCCTCACCTTTTCTTCAGCCCTCCTCACCTTGTCTTCAGCCCTCATCACCTTGTCTTCAGCCCTCCTCACCTTGTCTTCAGCCCTCCTCACCTTGTCTTCAGCCCTCCTCACCTTGTCTTCAGCCCTCCTCACCTTGTCTTCAGCCCTCCTCACCTTGTCTTCAGCCCTCCTCACGTTGCGTTTGGTTCTTTCCTGTTGCTGGCTTTCCTGGTGCCCCTCTGTTGAGCTGCATTCCTGGGTTGGGGGGAACTCATGGGTTGGGGGGCGCTCCTGGGTTGGGGGGCGCTCCCCTCTGTTGGGCGGCACTCCCCTCTGTTGGACGGCACTCCCCTCTGTTGGGCGGCACTCCCCTCTGTTGGGCGGCACTCTCCTCTGTTGGGCGGCACTCCCCTCTGTTGGGCGGCACTCCCCTCTGCTGGGCGGCACTCCTCTGCTGGGCGGCATTCCTCAGTTGGGGGTGAGGAGCTGGTTTTGGTGGGGGGAGTGGTTTTGGCTTTCGAGCTGCCAATCCTGGTGGCTATGGTGCTCGTGGTGGCTATGGTGCTGGTGCTGGTTGTGGTGCGAATGGCGGCGATAATGGTGTGATTGGTGTGGATAATGGAGTGAATGGTGTGGGTAGTGGTGTGAATTGGGGGAGTCGGTTCGGGGATGGGAAATCAAGTGTACCTATTATTGTCTTAACAGGAGTGAATCTGCTAAGGGGGAGGAGGGGGTCAGGCGTGGTCAGGAATATAGGTCAAGAATAAGAAGGTAGGTCGTCAGGCATACATTCCCGTGCATCGATGCGCCTTCTCCCCTTGTCTCCTCCCGTGCCTGTGAGCCCCTTACCGGTACCACCTAAATCTCACTGTACCCTTGTGTGTGCTCTGTCTCCCTAGCCTCCATTGGATTTGCCCATTCCTGTGAACCGACCATACCTTTGTGCGGAATGTTTCTGAGTTTGTCATCAAGCTCTGGTAAAAGTGTAGTGGTAATATGTGTATCCGTCATTGCAACATGGTTTGTTCTGAGGATTTGAGGGTAACCTATTGTCGGAATACTGAATGAGAAAAAATGCATTGAGCAAAAAGTTGGTACAAGTACTAACCCTGATTGGGTTGTACCTCTTATGGGCTACCCCATTACAGCCTACACAATATAAGCATTATAACATTTTGACATACCTCCATAGGTAAAGTGGGGGAGAACAAATGGTCACAAGACCAGTCAAGATAAAGCAAAGCAAGCTCAGGGTGAATCACGAAGTCACCACACACTCTGAGCACAAGCAAATGGACACAAGGCCAGTCCACATGCAGATTTATATAAACGAGAACAAACAGTACAGTGATCATAACCTAGCAGAGGTAAGCATGCAGGTATATGTATATAGATCACAGTACAAGCAAAGTCACGCAGTGCGCAAGTGAGACAAAACAGGCACAAGGCCTGAAACAGTACAGAAACGCTGATGATCACCAGGCTGAAGTGGCTTGGTGAATACATCAGGAGTGTTGGCCCGAGTGGTCACGCAAGCAAGACGAAGCTGACCACGCTGCTGCAACTCTCGAGCAAGGAAGTAACGCAAAGCAATGTGTTTCGTTTTGTGCTCCAGTCCGTGCTCCTGACACAAGGCAATCATGGCCTTGTTGTCTATGTACGGAACCGGAGAAGAACGAGGTCGCTCTCTCAAGTCGGTCAGCAGGAAGGTGAGCCAGCGTAACTCCTGTGCAGCCATGGCCCCTGCGTAGATCTCAGCCTCACAACTGGAACTGAGAACTGAAGACGAGCGGGTAGACCGCCAAGAAACAGAGCCGGAGCCAAGGCTGAAAGTATAACCCTGTGACGACCGCTGCGTAGCCAAGTCGTCAACCCAAGACGCGTCTGCATATCCAGTGAGGACAACTGGACCCCGTCGTCCAAGCACGAGCCCCATGCCCGATGTACTGCACAAGTGGCGCAACACCCTCTTAACGACCTCCCAGGGCTCTGGCTGGTGTCTCCCGGGCGCAACGTAGCGTGCCATGATGCTAAGAGGGTAGGCAAGGTCAGGTTGAGTGCAGGTCATCAGGTACATGAGGCAGCCCACAAGCTCTGGATACGGGCCACTCGGCTCTACGGACTCGTCCGAAGGTGGAGCTGAGAGCGAGTGATCGGTAGGCAGCGGAGTGGACTGTGGCGAGGAGTACCGGAAGCCGAAGCGCTGAAGGACCTGGTGCACCATGTGTGACTGAGTCAGGGTGATGGTGTGCCGTGCTCTGTCCTGGATGATCTGCAAGCCAAGATAGTTGCGCAGCTCACCCAGGTCAGTGCAGGTGTGTCTCTTCTACAGCTCTGACTTCACAAGGGCCAGTGCCTCAGTGTCAGCAGTGGCAAAAACCAATTCGTCGACTTACACGAGGATGTAGAACGGCGGCAGCGAAGTGTCGGTGCGCAGAAACAGCGACGGGTCAGCAGTCGAAGGAGCAACCCCAAGAGCCGCAAGTGTAGTCCTCAGTGTGTCGTGCCACTCGCGAGGCGCCTGGCGGAGACCGTAGACTGGCCGCGGGAGGCTCTACTGGGTACCTGTAGGAAACGATCCAGTGAAGCCAGGTGGGCGGCGCAGCCAGATCTCCTCATGCAGGCTGCCCTGTAAGAAAGCTATGCTAAAGTCAAGAGAGTGCAGCTCGTAGTCACGCTGAGTGGCGACGTGCAGCAGCACCCGAAGAGTGGTCATCTTTGGGGTAGGGGAGAAGGTATGGAAGAATTCAACTCGCTGTTGCTGACTGAATCCTCGTGCAACGTAACGGGCCTTGAAGACAAGCGGAGAGCCCGGCGGCCGCTTCACCCTGAAAATCCACATGCCATCGACTATGTTCGCCCTAGGAGGGGGAACTGCATCGACGTAGGTGCCTGTGGACTTCCAGGATGCCATCTCTGCGTCCATGGCTATCTGCCACTCAGAGGAGTAGGGACCCGTAATCGCCTCTGCGTAAGAGCGCGGGGTCGGGATGTCTGGTGCATCCGGGTCTCCCTCAAGTGCAAGCACCATGGCCACGAGATGAGGTACAGCAGCTGCAAGACACTCAAAGTCCTCCTGCGTGTCCTCAAGGACGTCCGTGCCAAGAGCGCACTCACCCCCGACGGGCGGAGGACAATCAGACTCAGACTCAGCAACAAGACTAGTGGCGTAGTCGAGACGACATGCGGCAGCAAAGTCAACAAGCTCAGCAACTAGGGCAGATGCAGCAGTGGACTCAAACGAAGGGTCAATGAGTATAGTGGCTAGAAGACGAGGGACAGTAGGACTGGCAGCACGAGCTAAGTTAGACTCAGGGTCAAGAACAGCATGAAGAGAGGACGCAGGAGGAGGCGGCAGGGGATCTCGCAGTGGAACAGAGGAAGGACAAAGTGCCATAATGTGAGTGCCGGGGACAGGAGGAGGACGCGGACGAGGAACACGACGACCAGTGCGAACAGCAAGAACAGGTGAGGCAGGACGAGACTCAGGCTCACGACGCTCTGTAAGAGAGTCTATCTGCTCAGCGTAAGGAGAAGGAGCAGGCAGTGGGGAGCTTCGCTGTAACTGTGGCTGCGAGTGGTGAGGCGGTGGACACGGCAAGCTAGGAGTAAGGCTAGTATAAGACGGGAGACTAAGAACCTGGCGAAGGACCGAGTTAGGTGGCGTCAGAGACGAAGATGGCGGCAGAACGAAAAACGGTTGCCGCTGCACAGTGCCTCCAGCACCGGTACCGCCAGCTCCAGCACCCCCACCGCCAGCACCTCCAGCTCCAGGGTCTCCAGCTCCAGCGCCTCTAGCTCCAGGGTGTCCAGCTCCAGTGCCTCCAACACCACCAGCTCCGGCAGCTCCAATACCTCGAGTACGAGCACCTCCAGGACCAGCAGCTCCAGCACTAACTCAAGCACCTCCAGGAATAGAAGCTCCAGCACCTCCAGCTCTAGTGCCTCCAGCTCCAGCGCCTCCAGCGCCAGTGCCTCCAGCTCCAGGGTCTCCAGCTCCAGTGCCTCCAGCTTCAGGGTCTCCAGCTCCAGCACCTCCAACACCACCAGCTCCGTTCCAGTACCTCTAGTGCGAGAACCTCAAGGACCAGCAGCTCCAGCACCTCCGGTACCTCTAGCTCCAACAGTAACTCCAGCACCTCCAGGACTATTAGCTCCAGCACCTCCAGCTCCATTGCCTCCAGCGGCAGGGCCTGAAGCTCCTGCAGCGCCACTCCTAAGGCGTGTGCGCTGAGCAAACCACTCGCGCAGCTGCTGCGATGAGAGAGGCTCCCGCCGGTGAGAGAGTCGTGGCGAGGCACCCGCAGGACCTCCGGCAGACGCAGTACCCTTAGGCTCAGCAACCCCAGACTCCGCACCCTCAGACTCCGCACCCCCAGGCTCCGCACCCTCAGGCTCAGCACCCCCAGGCTCCGCACCCCCAGGCTCCGCACCCCCAGGCTCCGCACCCCCAGGCTTAGCACCCCCAGACTCTGCACCCTCAGACTCAGCACCCCCAGGCTCCGCACTCGCAGGATCGGCACCCCCAGATGCAGCACCCCTAGCTGCACCTGAGTCTACAGTGACCTCAACAGGCTCAGCCGGGGGGAGTGGGTCTACCTTAGACACACCTGAGGGAGAAGGAACCTGAGGGGGGAGGGGGTCTACCGGAGGGGGACCTGGAGCGAGGAAGAGCGGCGGGGGGGGGGAGAGGGATAGTGCGGTAGGGGAAGAGATGGTAAAAGGGAACCGACTCGTCAAAAGTGACGTCCTGAGAGGCGAGATACGGCGTAAGGTGGGGTGGTAAAACTGCCAGCCAGGTGCGTCAAGGGGAAAGCCAAGGAAGACGCAGGGAATGGCGCAGGAGGAGAGCTTGTCCGTGGAAGTATCGCGGACAAAGGCACGAGAACCTCAGAACCGGAACACCAACGCATCGCCAACTGTCACAGGATCGAATTTCCACTCGAGAATGTTGCACTAAAGGTGAGTACAAGGCGTATTTATACTCAGAAATACATAGAAACAACAGATAATCCGAACCTTCGGGAACGCGCTCTTCTAGAATAGATAATCACAAGTGCGCATAAGCACGCAAGCCCATTGGCACTTCGGATTATGGCGAGATTACGCCTTGTACACCACTGTCGGTGCTGTCGGTGTTGAAATGTATTTGTATACTTTCATATAAATGCCTACAGTAGCCTAGTGTAGTTATCTTAGTTTCCTGCTAGGTGGTGTACCATTTGCCTTTCTTCATTCTTGCCTATTTGTACTGCTCGCTCCATAGTGAACATCCCCTTTTGGCTTGCACTTTTCCCTCGCCACTTTCCTTCTCGTCACCCTCGCCTAGGTCAAACCCTTGACCCTAATCTTCATTCTCGACATGGTACAGAGCATGTAATATCCTGGCCTACTGTTTTTAATTTCTCCATGGGCCCACCGCGTATTCCTTGTTTCATGGCGGCCGTCGCGCCTTTAGTTGCGACTGACGTGACGGGCGCGACGGCAAGTTTTTTGCTGTCATGGCGACGAGCTGGGCGGCTTGTACTGCCCCGTTGCTCCTTCGCCCTGTCACTCGCCCAGCGCTACCCGCCCAGTCCCGACCTGCCCCACCCCGTTCTGTCACG